AGAAGAGTAGAAGAGTAGAAGAGTAGAAGAGTAGAAGAGTAGAAGAGTAGAAGAGTAGAAGAGTAGAAGAGTAGAAGAGTAGAAGAGTAGAAGAGGAGAACAGGACGAGAGAGACGAGGTCAAGATGAGGATGATCCTGAGAAGGACCCCGGAAAATGGCTAGAGACAGATGGGCGAGCCTGTGTAGGGGCCTGTCATGACTTGAGAGAGGGAGAATGAAACCACAGTTCATATTAGCAGACGGGATATACGAGAGGCAGACATGGGTGAGGAGATTCGTAGAGATATTCTCTCCCACATATTAGGCTAGACTTCATCAAATCTCGTCCAGCTTGTTTTCACCTTGCTAGAAGAAGCTTCCCTTTCCACACTTACGTACTGTTCTAGTCAACGAAAGCGCAATACAAATCTTCAAAATCCAGAGCTCACTTTCGGTCGTCCGAGCTGAAACGTCCGGTGAGAGCTGCATTGCATACAGTGACTGAAGTTATCTTCTACTACAGAATACCTAGGGATAGATCTTAAGAACACGGCTAGAGACATCAACATATTGCCTCGTCATCAAACATACGCGCTAAGGACCTTACTGCCACGAAGTTGGACTTAATAGAGCTATCCACAAACTCTGCAACGTGAAGCAGCCCATCTCTTTGCAGGCACGCAACCTCTATGCCTGTGTATGCGGGAGTACGGTTGTAACTTATCCAGAAGAGTTGCGGCAGCGCAACGTCTTGAAAATAAAAATCAGGAGGTAGGGTATGAAGAGAACAGGACACTTGAATCTGCTACTGTGACGACTACTACAGGTATACATCATAGCATGTAGCTAGACTCTGCGACGCTTGCAAAGAGGATGGATAAAAAAAATGCAAGAGTACAGTCAACGAAAACTTCTATGATAGCTGACTAACTACCACTGACTTCACTACTGAGGCTCATGAGGACCAAGCTCGAGACCTCGAGGTACGGAGGATCGAGGACCAAGAGAAGGATAGCCGTGGCAGTAAAGAGATCTACCTCTAATGCAGTATCCAAAAAGTGTACGCCAACACTTGCCGGGTACTCTCCCTTACAATCGAAATACTACCCAAAACAGACAATAAATCTTTCCAACGCAGAAATCAAAAACTCGAAATCTCAAACACATAATCTCCTATGCATCCACGGAAAATCTCAATACCCACCAGTCCCCTCTCTTTCCCCATCTCAATAGTCCATCGAACCCGTAATCGATGTTTTTCCCTAGATCTCGGTACTCGTCAGCCTCATGCAGCTCGCTAAGCGCCGGCTCGTGGAAAAGGCCCACAGTAAGCATCGTGCATAGAAGCCGCATGGAACACTTATGGAAGGGAAAAAAGGTGGGAAGAAGGACCGATGTCCCGCGGAGACGCAAACTCTTGCTGTTGTGCTGTTCCAGGGCGTTCGTTACGTTGCATGTTGGCGGGGTTTGAGTTTCGAGGTCGCCTTTTGTTGCATGTCTGGATGATGTCAGTGAGGCCGGGGATTTTGGGCCGAAAGATAGGAGGCTGGTCCGATGGCCGTGACTTGAATGCAAGGGTGTTTAGGTGCTGAAATGATTTGTTGCAGGTCGCTCGGGAGACGTGTCCGAAGATTGATATTGGTTTCGATGTTTTGGCGGCGGTGGAGCGAGGATCGGGTTGAGGTTTCGGAAGGGAGGCCGATGGTACCGTAGCGAGGGGTGATGTTTAGACGAGTATTGGATTTTTGTTTTGTGCTTGTTTATTGCATAGACTTTGGGATAGAGAAAACAGTTGTTGAGCGATTTAGAATGTTTGTAGGTTGCAACTCATCCATAAATAATAAGGATTTGTCGCTGATTGTGGTATGTTGATTCGTTTCAATCCTTTTACTTACCTCCTGAGCAGGACGAGTTCCTCTTGAGACATTGCTCTTGATGCAAGAGCTTTGAAGAACAGTACAGGTTGTCTCGAATGACTGCAGCTTCAACAAATGTGTTGCTGATATCGAGATCTTCGGGCATCTCTTCCGAAGACCTCTATCGCTACCTTCAACGACCAATCCGACAGAAATCAAAAGTTTTGTTGCCCATCGCAACCAGCGCGGATATGTTCCGGGCTAGTTTTCTCTGTTTTTCTTTTTTTAATGTTGCAGCTGTGGATAATGCATTGATCGTGGATGTGGAAACTTCCAGCATATTGCTTTTCTGTTCAGTTGACCGCTTGCAATATTGTTTAGCGGTGTAGCTTCGAATAACAAAGGCTTGAGCTTGCATCTGTTCGAACGGTGTAGTGTCCTTACTCTCTTTCGTTGTGAAGAGGTTTGTTTGGAAAAGTTTCGCTGTGAGGTTTTATTTTGTTCATAACCAATTGTTGAACTGCGATGCGGTTCCTGCGACTTGCTGCACGAATACATGCCACACAGTTCATGTATATCGAGTTATTGCAGCCTTGTATTTGCCGGAAGGTCCAGTAAACAGTCCAATTGACCAATAGGAGATTTTGCCTTCGAGTTTCAGTTCAGAGGCGTAAAAATAGCACCATTTCATCCACACCGGCAGATGCAACTGAGGGAATCCAGAACCAACAGCACGAAAAAGATGCCGAAAGCAACGCACTCCAACAATTGTTTGAGATATATCACCCAATCCAATACGGCCGCAAAATCAACATGTTTTGCATCAAGCACTCGCTTCCTCTGTACTTCGTAGCAACCAAATGCTCTCGCCGCAATCCTACTGTACCCCAACATGCAATGCAATGTGTTCCTGTGTTTCTCCCTCCCTCAAAATAAAGTTCCAACAGGCACGATGCACAACATAGCTTTCTGAAACTCGTCCTTCCCATCCTCAAACCATTGATCTCTAACGCCGAACCTATTGAAAAATACTGACCGAAGAAGAAGCCGCCGACAGGGGCATTGAAGATATTCGAAATATTCAAAATATTGCTGAAAGGAATTGATTTGATTTCCTCCCCGGATTTGGCATTGTTCCTGCGTTTCTGGGGGACTGTACTTGAGAGGTTGTGTTCCTGCCCCTTTTGATTTCATTCCTGGCACGTGATATCGAAATCCAAAATGAGTGCCCGTGGTTCACCTTGGTTGCCCACTGCCGTGCCAGTCTGATTAGATCGCATTTGAGTTTGAGGATCGAAGGTTCTTGTGGTCCTTTTATTTTGAATAATTCATGACAAGTATTGGCGATCGCATCGCATGCGATCGTGTCGTTGTTGAGTTTGTAGGGGGGCCATCATTTTGGTGTCGGAGAGCGCGATTCGGTCGCGAACCTGTTTCCTTTTTAGCATCCTCACTCTCATCTCAAGAAACTCTTTCGAACGATATTATTCCAACAATTTCAAGCGCGATTAATGCGAGATCCAGTCTCGAACCCACGGCATATCATTTCCTGACATGAATCATCTCGGGTCTTGACATAAAAAGCAAAATAGAGCCTTCCGAGCAACCCTGTTGATCGGTTCCCGCATAGCCTCGAGATGGGGTTTTGGAGGGCTATCTCTCCAGCCTTTGTCTTATGTCAGAGATCAGCACTTCAGCCTCGATTGCCACTTCTGGTAACCCAGAAGTTTCAACTACTGGAATAGAAGTCAGCGAAATTGGATTCAAGCACTGGAATCAAGGGAAGTAGAGATCCATGATTGCACAATCTCGCAACAGAACAACCGCATTGAGAACCCAAGATTGACCTCACGTCAGTACATTAGGAAACCATTTCAAATCCGAAAGTCCAGATCGTCCTATATCCGAAGCCGACCCATTCTCCAGTTTGGGCGGAAGGGACACTTTTAAGTGGAAGTCGACATTTCGAATTATTCAGCCGTCCGTCACCGCAAGCACAGTCAGCATTCGCACTTCGCTCCAATCAAGTCTACGGCCTAACTCCGCCGCTGCACGGCGATCTCTGATGCTCTTGATCGACGAGTCATCATGCGTCTTCCTCGGATTTCTTACAAATGCGAGCTCCGACACCGTAGATCTACCAATGGGAGCTTGTTCTGGGGGCTCCGGGGTTTAGTTAAAGCCCGCAAACTTCTAAACGACGAAACGAGGTCAGAAAGTCAGAAATGCTGCTGCTCGGCCGTAAGAGCGAACGGCGACCGATTACTCATGTCGTCGTAGCTGGCAACCAATTGTTGGGCTCTCGTCCCTTGAATCGGTCTTCGGATGCTTAAACTTTCCCCAGAATCGTGCTCAACGAGTGGTACCGTATTAAGGTTTGCTGTTTAGTGATGAGGTTCACGACTCTTTCCGAGAAACGAGGGATAATCGTCACCTGGCTTTCCACGCTGTCTGGCAATTGCGGATGTGCATGCCTGTGACCTGTGGACTTTGTACTGAGGCCTTTAGACCTCACGAGTTATTTTCTGGGATATCGGGGGGTTTTGGGGGTTGTCGAGGCAAAGATGCAGTCCTGAGAGAAGAAGCCAGGGTTCCGGGTGCTTCAGGAATCAAGAGGGCAGTGAAAGCGTGCTCCGCAGCACCCCAAATCGGGTAACCTTCGAGAAGGTCGAGGGGTTACTAAATGCAGAATACGCGGGTGCGAGGACATTCCACCGCGGCACGGTCGCGCGAGGTCCTCGGAGACATCTCGTGCGGTTGAGACGCAAGCTGATGACTCTACAGCGAGTGCGAGCCAAGGCAGGAGAGGAGGAGACACAAGAGATTTAGAGTTAAATATCAAATACGCGGAGGTACGCAAGCGAATCCGAACGGGAAAACGAAGCGTGGTCGTGGAGAGTTTGCTGTGCAGAAGAGCGGGATTTGGTGCCAAGATGAAAATCCGATGATGCCTGAACTCCTGCTCTGATACGTTACGCCGTACAAAGTTGTGCTTACGTGGGTACGCAGACAAGGCTGCGGATGGCTTGGGGCTGCTTGGTTTCCAAATTCCACCGTCGCTCAGCGATTGTCCCGCACTGGCGGGGTCGGTCGACGTCGCAAACTGGCCTCGTTTGGCGCACGGCATGCTCGATCAGGTATGTAGGCTGCCAGATTGCGCGCTGGGCGATTCGTCGCGTCGTACCTTCGTAGATGCGCTGTTTGGCACCAAGGGAAAAAGTCGTCGACGCAATTAATGTCCATCCCACGGCGGTTTCGACGCAGTGGAGGCTGTGTCGCACCGTATCCATACGACGCGGAGGAATCGAGTTGATTCTTCATACAGAGGGTACTACTGTATTAGGGAGCATGAGTGGGAAATGAGTGAAGCCTGAGAATAATGAACGCATGGCGCATGGGCGTTCCAGACTGCTCGCTGTCAGTCATGCCAGTCAGTTGCAGTTCACGCAGAGTAATCAGGGCTCAAGCGAGTTCCAAATCATGAAAGAAGCACCTCCTTTGATGATTATTCAAGGGCGTTTGAGGTGAACCATTGGCCGAGGGGGAATGGATTGGAAACACCGTCTTGTTAATCCGGAGGTGTCATGTCGAATGCTTTGTCAATGAGACTGTCCAGTGCAGCAAATAAGGTCATCGTATGGGAGGGGGTGAGTCGCGTTTGTCATCCTCGACGCACGTCGAAGGGCTCTTGCTAAACACCGAGAATGATGTTCTATGCCCTCTGGAGTTGAGATAATCCAATGTCCGCACCTGCGGCGGAGAATGGACATAACCTAATCTTCGTGGCTAGGGCGTGCCTGGGTGAGTGAGTCCTCGAGTAGGCTACTGGATGGATCGTTCATCGCAAGGCCGCAAGAGTCACGTCTGCTCATTCGGGGTCAGGCTGAGCCACGGGCTATCAGAGAAAGAGACTCAGAGTTCTGCGACGGGGCTTGCGGCGTCTTCTAGGTACCGAGCGAGATGTTCTACCCCGTTGAGTTTAGCGTCTCGCATTGCGGGAGCCACGAAAAAGCCACGACGGTGAGTCTTTGCTGCCGACCGCCTGTGTAAGCCTGCTGAGAAAGCGAACGCGGGATGGGTCGTGCGTAGGGCCATGGAGCATGGAGTCATCCACATCCACATCCACATCCACACCAGATGCACAGGGATGCTCGCTAGGAGTCGGATTTTAACTGTCAAGGCGGAGCGTGTCGGTCTTTTCGTAATCCCTGGACCAACTCGGACAACGGGCCCTTGGCTGTTGACGAAGAGAAATATCATCTGGCTACATATTCCACCGAACCCTCCTGACCAAGAGTCTCATTCTCATTCTCACCATCAGCAATCTTCACTCTACAACAATCAACACATATCAACAGTTCATCTACCTTCACGAAGATTCACCAGCAACTACCACCAACAATACCCACCACCATTACTCAACTCACAATTGTGAACATCGACGCCTCGCTTCACGCCTTTCCGGTAACCCTGCAGTCACCGATTTTCGGCCTCGCCAAAAAAAAAAAGTGTTGCCTTGAGTCATTCAGCAACCAGATCACAACATACAAAATGTCGACCCAATCCAGATCACCACTTGCTTCCTCCTCCTCAGTATCACCATTGAAGAGAAAGGCCATGTCTGTCACCCAAACTTACTACCTCGCTCACACTGCTCGAGGCAAGCTCTCTTCGGAGGCTGCCCGATCTGATCACAACCTTCGACTTCTCGTCGGCCACGCCAACCTCCTCGACTCCTTGATGCTCGAACTCGCAGAGGCAGAACAAGAGCAAGAGAGCTGGTTCAACCAATCCGTCAAGAAGGCCACCAAGACCACCGAAGAGCCAAAGCACATCCAATGGGCCGACGCCGTCGTCGAAGACCCTGAGGAGGACTGGCAAGCAGAGGACGCCGACTCCTCTGACTCTGAGAGCGAGTACGATTCCGACGACGACATGGAGACGGAGACAGTCAGCCGCGTTCAATCACACTCAGTCATCTCCTCCGCTGTCGAAGTCGAGGAAGAGTACGAAGATGACGGAGAGGAGGATTTCGAGGGTCTGCAATTACATCTCACACAATCACACTCAGCCAACCCACCAGAACTCGACCACGACTCCGACTCTTCAGAAGACGAATCAATGCCACCATCTCCACCATCCACATCTCTGCCCACGTTCTCTGAGAAGCAACAAATCGCTACCACATCCTACTACTCCAAGCCCACCGCCTCGATACCTGCATCGGAGCAACAAGCCTTCTTCGACGAAGGCTTCTACCTCCCACAACGGGCGAATCCCGGTTTGATATCCGCAATCAGCGTGTATTAAACATTTTCGGATTTTCAACGGGTTTACGAGTTCACGGTTATGGAACATCATCTTAGCGATTTGAGCGATCTCAGCGAGCATTGGGTCAGGCGTTAAGCAACAAAATACCACTTTTTTTCATTTTCATCTTGTATTTCATATATTGGGAGGGATCTACAGTACAAAGACTGGCAGAAATGAATGGTTCACACCACTCTGGGAGTTGAAGGGAGAAGATTTCATTTTCGCAGTCTTGGAAGGATAGGGAGTGTGCTCCTTGGATGATGCCCAAGTCGAGCTACAGACAGCAAAGTAATATATCATATCAAAGCAAATCAAAAAACAATCTGAAAAACATTAAAAAAAATCAATTCTCTTGTGCGAAAGTGAGATGCAATTGTGACTTGTGCCATGTGAATGACTCATTCCCCATACCTGCCTGACTCTCCACAATTTTCACTGTCAAACTGGAAAAAGTAAATTTTCATGTTGAAGCCATTTCTCATCCAATCCCTTTCTTTCTTCTCTTCCCTTCTCTCCATATCCATCTCAACCTCAGTCATCTACTCATCTCTATTGACTCAGCAGTCCTTCCGTTCCCAAAGTCCTACCTCGCTCTCTACTCCCTGCTCCCTGCTCCCTGCTCCTCGCTTCGTTTCGCTGTAGGCACGAAAAAACTCGCCGAGTACGGCGCAGACACGGATACGCTGGGAAGCGGCACCTCATCCTTACCACACCGCCCAACGCACCCTTGACGCAGGATGTGCGCGAATCATGTGGATCCCGTCGTACCTTTTTCTCGCTGGGCAGGGCGGGCAAGGGTTACGTGCGAACGAGCAACGAACGGGGGTTTGTGGGAACTGCGAACCTCCGAGGTGATTGAGTGAAGGAGGGAGGGATGGATGGGAGGTCAATGCACGCGCTTCCGGGTTGCTGGGAGGAGGGATGGGAAGGGAAGGGATTTGTGATCTTCTTTCGATTTGATTTGAAAGGGGGGGTATGTATTATTAAGCTGGGGTTCCCGAAGGAGAGGTGGGATTTGAAATTTAATCTAGATTATTGTACAGTGGTGATGTGATGATGTAGTCATTTATTAATGCTGTGTGTTGCTGATGCATGAATGAATGAATTGGAGGACAATAAATCTTGGAGTCGGTGAGTGAGTGCTGTGTGTACGAGTAGGTAGGTTGCTAGGTATGTAACCTTCCATTTTGCGACGATTGATTAATATAAAATCCCATCCATCATCGATTGTTAAGGGAAAGATTCTATTATTATGCTATTGCGCATTTGAGTGTGTGCGCAAATCTAGATCTCCTTCCCTTTCGATATTTCTAATGAATTTATTGGAAAGTTTGGAAACTGGGTGATTCATTCATTCACGATGAATCATTCTTGCATTCTTGCATTTTCGTAGTGGATTTTCAAAACATCTCAGCAGCTCGCTGGTGGTGGTTCGCTCAGGTCCGAAAAGCAACGCCTGAATATTGGATGCAGCTCAACCAACACAACACATAAAATACAGCAACGAACTCAAAACACACCGCTGCTGCTGCAACTGCAACTGCAACCTATCTAGATGCAGCGAGCTGGAAGAAAGGACATCTCCGACCAACACACACACACACAAGATAAGGCTGAGAAAGCCCTCGCCTCCTCACCGCGAGAACGCCGTACAACCCATTCAGCTCATGTCAGCTGGTCGCCGAAAGCGGAAAACGAATGCTGGTGATGCCTCCCAATGCAGGAAATGGTTTCGCTGATTTGAGAGCAATGCAAATCAATCTCTTGATGTGATGTTTAAGGGAGCTGACGTGGGTTTACAGCACCAACTGATCTAGATCTGCGGCGGCGGCGGACAGAGATGTGATTTGATCTCTCGTGCGGAATTCCTCTGTCTTGCTTATCCTATATCCGGAGGAGAGGGTATCTGAATGTTACCCGGATCTGATCGTAGGGTATCGTATCGTCTTGCGAGAGGGTGGGAAGTACGAGGTTGTCGTGCTTATTGGTCACTTCGCGGTTTGGCGAGTGAGAATGTATATGAGGGGTAACGTAAGCACGATGAGACGAGAGCCGAACCCGACCCGACCCCACTCTTATGGTACTACCCATTGCAGAAGATTAGAAGAAGAAAAAGATTAGATTATTTATTTGAAAAAGGAGGGAAATGCTGATACGCGGCGTTTCGCTGTGCGGCACTGGGAAGAAAGGGTGGGGGCGGTATTCGCGAAGTGCCGTATTCCCGTATCGATGGATGTCAGAAGCCGGCAATATACCGGTGAGGGGCACGGCGTTGTTGGTAAGGGAATGCAGTGCATGACAATACCATTTGATCTGATCATAAATCACATTCACCTTCCGTATTCCCTTCTGGACCCATGTGAATGTCAGAAGAGGCATCAGTCATGTGCCGTCAAAGCATGATGTAGGCATCATGGAATCGAAGAAAGGTGTGCACACCTCAGGTCTCGGAGATGGTGTTCGGTGTGCGAGAGTTATGTCCGCGTGCGGGATGCCGGATGTGATGTGTGGGATTTAAGGTTTGGGAACCAACGTGGCATTTGATGGTGGGGTTATAGACAGGGGAAGCGAGGGACTCGGGACCCGTGACAATGGAATCATGTGCGAAGCGAGACCGGCCTGTTCATGCTGGAGGATGGAGCGAAGAGAGAAGAGCCGCAGCAGTAGCATGGGTGGAAGGGTTGGGTTGGTGGTGGGTATTTGAAAGGATTAAATCCGCCGAGGAGGAGGTCGGAGACCAAGACTTTGATACGTCCGTAGACGGTGGGTGGAGGGGAGCTTGAAGGTAGAGCTGTTCCTGAGCATGAAACAGGGGAGAGCTTTGGGATGAGCTAGATGAAGGATGACAGCTTGTTGCTGGGTCGTTTCATTCTTTGGGACAGTTCCCAGGACTTCGGGACCCATCACGTGTTCCAGCCGAGAATGCATCTTTTGTCTTCGTATTACCTCCGGCCAATGAGGCCGCAGAGGTATACCATAATGGGTAATTAACAAAGCTGCTAACAAATCCGTCTTCGCTAACGGGTAATAATACATGGTCCAGTTACCGTAGCTGCCTTGGGCATATACTAAGACACTATCCTGTCTCCATCATACATAAAGTAGGCAACATCAACGTAATGTAAACCACGCTTCTAATCCGAAAGAGAGGAGTGCTTGCTAACTTTCAGAAAACCACAAAACCGCTTGGTTAACACCACTTGAAAAAAGTTCAAAGCTCATCAACCTTCAGAACATACAATCTGTCTCGTTCGACTTTTCTTCCCCAGTCACTCTCCATGCGAGTGATCAGCTCTTCGAGATCTCTTTCGGCAGGAATATACAATCCGCTAAGAATTCCCGCTCGAGGTTCTGCACACAATGCTACAAAGGTTCCGCTTGCGAGTCCTGCCGCGGGCCATTCCCGTTGGGTTGCCTGCTCTGCCAACGACATCTGAAGCGCTGGATCTCTGGCCCAGTGATTTGGATCATCTTCGACAGGCAACGCAGGGTCATGGACGTAGCTAGGAATTGGGCCCGGATCTACTGCAAATGACATAATACCCTTCGATCTCATCTCAAGCTCTAGATGATGATGGAACTTCAACAATGCAGCCTTTGATACGCCTTGTTGGGACAGATAAGGGAGCTGTAAATGTGCAACCGCCAATATGGTGCTGATGATTATTCCGCTTTGACGTTCCACCATTGATGGTAAGACGGCTTGGATGAGGCTGATTGGTACGCGGACGCTAGCTTCGTGGTGTGGCCACCATTCTTTCATAATATCAGACTCCTGAGCAAGAGGTCGTAGATAGGATGCTGGGGTAATGTTGACTAAGATGTCTACCGGTCCTCGATATTTTGCCACGAGGTCCACCACCTGGGTAGCCGCTGAAGGCTGCATGAGGTCGGCAGTCAATGCCAGAGTCGGAGTGTTGAACTTCTCCTTGATTTCACGAAGTAGAGGTTCGAGGGCTTCGGCTGATGGTCCCAAACAGCAAACTGATGCACCTGCCTGTGCAAATGCCACGGCAGAAGCCCGTCCGATGCCTCTATGTGCTTGAGTGATCAAGACGACTTTCCCCTTAAGCTGTTTTGCGAACCGAAATGGATCAATAAACGGATAAGTATCGCGATGCTTTGTAAGACTTGATTTGTTCTCCCACATGACAGAAGGGCGAGTGGCATGGAATTCAGGCATTGGAGCAAAAGAATACGAAGCAAATGCCATGCTTGGAAAAGGAAGTCAGAAAGGTAATCATTTGCATTGAGAAGGCTGTGAGTTTGGTATATGAGGCTAAACGTTGTGCACAATATCTCGAGAGGAATTTTAATGCTCCTCGTCCGGTCCAAATTACTCGGACTTTTCAGAAATCCTAGCTCCGGTATTTGGCTTAAGTTCCGTCATCAAAGCTAACCTTGTCGGTCTTGTCTGCAAGCCGAGATTGGTAAGAGAACCAATGAGAACAGCCAGCATCCACATTCCGACCATATGGGTGACAAGGCTGATAGTCTTGGCATTTGACTCGCAAATAGATTCGTCAACGCTTGAGGTAATGAACCGTATTCGCGTGTTCGCGTGAGTTCGCATGACGATAAGCGACAGAACCATGCTGAGGACTACCACAGCTTTGGTAAGATTCCAGAACATATTTTGGAAGACTGATGATCCCAGCAGCTAGCTCTGTGATACATTGAGGAAGACTTCAACATGATTGATATCCTGTTCAGACCACAAACGCTTTGTTGACTAAAGAGATCCGGTCTCCTGAAATGACCACAGCCTTGATGAGGGTGCCTAGCACCCCAGTCTCAGACATATGTAGGCTCTGGAATAAAGTTCAACAACGATCGGAGATTAGGGTCATGCATGTGCATGAGCATTGAGGGCGGCCGTTCTCGGCTGAGAATGCCGGAGGAGGCCTGCAGGATTTGATATTTGAATGTCCAGACCTTCGCGGGTCAATAGTTGCCTTGATTTGAGGGAGTGTCGAGTGACCAGCTGCCACATGCGTTGTTTCTTGCACAAGTTGACATTTTCGTCCGAATTTTCCGTCCAGGAGAGATTTATCGCTGAGGCACTTTTGCTGCCGAGGATCAAGAAGTCCAGCAATTGCCAACTCTGGTCACGCCCGGCAGCATGGCTGAACTCATAATATCGGGCGGCCGAGTCCTTGTGACTGAAGTGATCGGGAAAGTTCGTAGCTTTCGATTATCAAGGGTGAAGTTGTGGAGATGGCGGAGCAAAGTTTTGATAGAGGTCGGCAGACGGAGGATGTTTGAGACCGACCACCGAGGCCATGTGATCTACCCTCACGTGATGGCGTCTAGGATGTGAAAATTTGTCTTTTAGCTCCTCCAGCTCTTCTTCTCATCATTCTTAAGACGAACAGTGCCATCGGTATGCTTTGTTTCACAAGATCTGCGCTCTTACCAGTTTTTGGGGTGGCATCTTGAGATCAACCCCTCCCGAAAGCTGGGAGAGCCGTCTTTGGGGTCCGTTGCCTTAGATTTGAGGCCAGGAGCCGAACAAGTTGTTATTTGTGTCCAACCGGTCTGTCTGATGAAGACAACCTGTCTTTTGTTCTTGCTTTCAACATGAGACCAAACGATGCACCTTCACGGCGTAATACTTCATTCATTCGTGGTAGCAGGTACGGCCAACTTCGCGGAAAGGCTCGCCTAACTGTGCCTGGCATTGGGTTCTTCTCATTGCTCAGAACGGACGCAATGAGACGCTGTACCATGGACACGAGTGTGTTTTCTATGGGGAATCCAAGCCATCACCGTGAGAGTGCCGTGAGATTGCAGTCAGATGGGTGTGACGGGTTGTGATTGTCTTGCATTTTTGCTGTTTTGAAGGGGCTGCGCCATAAGCATGCATGACGCTGTCGCTCAGCTTCGTGCTCTTGTCCTCTCTCGTCCTCTCTTGTCACCCACCTGAGGATATAATCGCGAATCAGAACCCTGCAAGGCAGGGCCAGCATTTCCCGCTAGAACAATTCGTCAATCTTTCTAGAAACCTTCCCCATCGGGTTACGATCTGCAGCGCTGTTTCGTGCGGATAAAGAGTGATCATCGTCGGCGTCCGTAAGATCCACAAGGAATTCCGCCCGGGGAGGATTATCGGTGGCTTCGGTGCATTCCAACACAGCACTCACCACGCAAAGCAATAACTCTCTTGAGTGAACAAAACCTCTTTCTTCTCTGTCAGACACTCTGTCAACATCAAGAAGGAACAACGTGAGAACTCTTTTCCACCTGCTGCATCTGCTGTGCGATCCGGCTGGTACCGCGATAAGAATAAATCTCACCGTCACGATGGCCTCGCCTATTGCAGCACTGCCAGGCTTCCCTTTCTTCTACGCCATACCGATTGATGGCCAGATCAGAGAGATACCTTCAGACTCACAGCCACAGATATGGCCTGAAGAACTGATAGACTTTCCTGAAGACTACCACTACACTCTTCTTCAGCTCAATCCACCACCGTATCACTCCAAACCACTGCCACCACGACCCAAGCAGTCATTACCACTGGCACTTCGGATGCCAGAGTTGGATGAGACAGCCAACCTCAAGAACCCCAGCTACTTACCCATCATCGTCCCAGATGACGATGTGATCACGCCTCAGACAGTCCGAGCCAGGACAGAGCCCGTGATTAGCAAGTCCAAGACGCAACGTCGGAAAATCCGATACCCATCTTTACCAATTGGAAGATGGGCTCAACCAGCGTCCGGTAACGATGGTCATTCAAAAGACATCAATGAGTACGCAAAGACGATACCCCAGGATTCTGTGATCATTCACAAGCGAAAACTCCGATTTCCGTCAATAGCAAACCGACCATCATGGTCCTCGTTCAGAGCATCGTCACCAAGTCCACTATCAGCATCAGCATCAGCATCGACATCAACCTTTCTCGGCTTCACCAAGGCAACGGAGATGCCTCCTGAGCTAGAGGCAATTGAGACTGTGAGCCCTCTCAGTCCCTTCATGGAGCTTGACTCTACTCCCATCAGCGAGTTGTCATCTGAGAATTCTTCACCGCAATCATCACCCTCTTTACCAGAGGAGAAATCGGTTTCTGTTTTTCAGGTGCAATTTTCGTCGCCTCAGGCTCCATCTGAGCTGGATACTCATGTCCCGAGTACTCCAATGTTACCGAATCGATCACCTTATCGATCGTGGTATCATGACGATGATGCGGGAGAACTCTCAGTACTCTCAGTACTCTCAATGCCTCCACTCACAGAAGACAATGATGACCCGCCTCCTCCTCATTCAGCTGACTGCTCACCTCCTCCACATGAAGAGGCAGCTTCCGCACCAGGATCGCCGTCATCATTCTTAGACCTGGATACCGATGACTCGAACAACACCTCCACCCGTTCTTCACGGTCACAGATTCCAAAACAGCCCGAGACCAAAGAGCTAGGAACCGATGTGAAGGACCCAAAAGATTTCGAGGGCGACGTGAAGGAGAACGTCCCAGACTTAGCCAGTCTACCAGCGCGGCCGCAATCATTTTTGCTCATGACGGAAGAAGAGGTCAGCCAGGCGGAGATCATTGAAGATATCTTCATCATGCTGCATGATTTGCAGCCCAACTACCTCCATCCCGCTCATAGACCACAACCGAATGTTGTCAGGATGTCTATGATGAGGCGGTTTGCTACTCAGATTGCTCACGTTGAGCAAGTGAGGGAGAAGAATGAGAAGGAAGAGAAGGAGAAGGACGAAAAAGACTCCAATCAGGAAAAGAAATGAGGGAAGGTGCGCACGTGACTTCAAACAAGAGAGTCACAGTCCACCCACCACGGGCCCGAAATTGCAAATGACTATAGAGAAAGGCTTGGGATTTTGGAGTTTGGGTATAGACCAAGGGTTAGTGGACGGTATTGGTGTTTCGGGGGTCTTTCCATTTTACATATTTATCAGTCACGATACCAGGGGCATTCACTTGGTGTTTCAAGCATGAGCAGTACATTCGCTTGTACGTCTCCTTTGTTTTGCGGTAGGAGGAGTCCCTCTGAAGGCTCGAGAAAGGCGTTGAAGGGTGGTTGGCGGATTGTACAAAAACATCTTGTACGATAGCACATGACCTCAATCTTGAGGCATCTCATTTGGCGGCAATAGTTGTCTTCATATTTACTTAAGACACGAACTTATCAAAAATATCATCTTAAACATAAATCATATCCAAACGCTTCGTTCCGTGTGTAATTCGCGGCTTCATAGGTTTCGACATCCAATTTCACTGTGAAGACATGAAATACACTGTTAGAACACGATTTATGAAATGCGATAGCGAACGCCTCTTTATTTACTGAGCCTGGGCCTTCTAAAATCTACAGCAATCTCGTTCAAATCTGCAGGAGTCCAAAGGTCGGACTCCAGAGGGTTTCGAAGATGGTCTCATTGCAAAGAGATGCACCATCTGCCAGACATTTTTATGGAAGCAAAGTCGTTATGGAGTATCGGACAACAACCGCTAACCCAATCCTCTCTTCTCACCAAAGACTCTCAGTCGTGATATGTCCGTCGCAAGAGCACTCAAAGTCCATCTGATTGTGCCTCCAATGTCCAGATAACCTTCGCATCCCTCAACGGCATGCCCCACTCCCGACTCTCACCACCAACCAACCACTCGCCAGTAACCTCTCTCGCCTGCTGTCCTGTGAAGGTAAATCCCTTCCGGTAGTTCTTTAGAAACGTGATCTTTCTCGGAGAAACGTGAGCCAATTCCTCAGACTTCTTCCCACAAGCGCAGGTGTAAGTTAAACGAGGGATCGATTTCGCGGTTGCTCCAACGTAGGCAAGAGCAGGGTTGGTTGGGCCGACATCCTTGGCATGAATCTCAACGTACTTGTCTTCGTGTTCTGCCGATGGCATGAAGTACCGCGCCAGCACCAGCTCTTTCAGGATCTTCTTCTTGCCGGTGCCGTCGCCAACTTCGAGTCGGGTTATAGTATCCATTGTGACCTCGAATATGTGGCGGGCTTGAGACAAGCAGGTGAAGATTGGTTCGGCGAGGTGGATGGGAGCTCGAACATTGTTAACGTGGCGCTCGAAGTCTTTGATCAGATCCACCGCGACTCCAGTATATCCGCCTCGGTTCTGCATTACTTGATCGCGAGAGCAGAATAATGGAAATGAAAGGAACAACTTCGCGCCTTGGAGCACCTTGTTACTGGATATCTTGCCACCGCCATGGGATAGTCCTGTCTTGGCGGAAGACGATTTATCGCTATTGATTTTCGTAGCCGGTGCTGCAGTACGAACGCGTCCTGATCTCGGGTCGCTGTAGAATCTCGACGAGGGGCTTGAATTTGTAGATTGCAAAGCGGGAGGGTCGGACGAGGGAACCGTGGCTATCTTCTGTGCAGTCCGACGGCTAGCTTTGAGTCGGGTCAAGGCGACTAAGGGTGAGCACTCATCTTCTTCCAGCTCATCCCAAGAGTCGGGACCTAGGATATAATTGACTCCTGGCTCTGTATCCAAGATATCGCCGAATAACTCTTCTGACAGCGGGCTCAAGGGCGTGCCAGATCGGGTCGATCTATCCGGCTCCGGAGAGACGTTCTCAACGCGGGATGGGTTGTTGTCTGCAGAGGTAGTGGATTGAGACATTACAGCTGAGAAGCGTGGGAGGTGATGTCTGACGCGTCTTGGGTTGATGGTTGTTTGGGTCTTCGAGGTTATGTATCTTGTAGAATCTTGCGGTCTTGAAGTCGAATAAGATGGGATGAGGGAAGATTGCGTGGATTCTGTTCAACTCCTCCGATTATAGGATGACGCTAGAGGAATAAACATGATATTATCGCGACGCTAGTCTTTCATCTTTTGAGTGCCGGTTGACGGAAGCCGGAGGTACAGAAGAACCGAGAAATTCATCTTACCTTTCTTTCTTTGAGGATGAGGAATGACAGGGAGCTGCTCTGTATAGTCTTCTCTTCTCAACGCCATCCGCCTTGAGTCAACACACTGTTCTGACAGGCTTGATTCCTAAATCTCTTCCCAACTGCATGACGCCGAGACGTTGTAAGGATTCCATTTAAGAAACCACGAAGAATCAGAGTTGACGCTCTTTTTATGGCCCAAGAGGAATCATAAAGCTCCGGCGACAATCAGACTAGTGTTTGGAAATCTCAAAGATATGAGCAATGCTTCAATGGATATCAATGACAAGACTGATGACCGTAGCAGTACCAAGGGGGAACATGTCTCGAAGTTTTGAGGAATACAAGAGACGAAAGAATTGCTCTTCTCCTTTAGTTCGCAGCTTTACTCATCATAACTTGTAAAAAACGTGCCATGCTGAATTAATTCTCCCTTTCCTCGACACGCTCTGGGTTGAAGCAGTGTCAAAGGACTACTCAAACTTCAAATCTCCCACAATGCCTCCCACAAAGTATAGTTCTGAGCCGTCTGGCACAATCAAACTTAAAACGGAATGCAGATGTATGACTCGTGGCTACTTCCATTGTTGATTGCCCTGGCCCTAACAGGCAGGCAAAGGAAAGAGCAAAGGGCAGAAAGAGCAGTTTCCAGCGCAAAGAGCATGACATTTACACCGCTGGACGTGTCTAACTCTTTCATGCGAGTAGATGGCATGCCACATCTGTTGCCCAAGACCACTGATAAGAGCATTAGAATGTGGATAGATGACTCCTATGATCGAGATAAGTTGGTTCATCATAAAAGGCTGCTGCCATCCCCTTTGCCAAAGCTTTTCGACAGTGGATAGGTTAGTGGTACAGGTTTGCCTTGCGGTAGACCTTGCGTACCAAGAATGACCGCCAAGAGTTGAAATGAGGTTTCGAAGCAGCAAGCAACTGTAGACAGAAAAACAACGAGGGGAAGCAGGATCTCGAACAAAGAACGAAGTAGAAAGACCCTAATGCATGTCCATAGGGAGCTGAACTTTGAACAGCGGTGGCCAATAGGACGAAGTGATCGTTGTCGTTGAACGTACAACACTGTCGAACACACCACACTACATCTCAATGAGCTATAGGGAGATCAGCCGCAGGACGAACTCACCATGCGAATTTGCCACATTCTAAATAGGGGAAAAGGAACGACTTGATTATCGAGCAGGTGAACACGTTCTTGAAGTACCTCAGCATCGCAAAGACTGATTAGGTGCAGTTCTGCTGATGTTGAGCGAGACACCTGAGTATCTGTATGTATTGTGAGAACGACGAAGTTGATGTCAGTCCCCAAGCACAGTGAGTCGCCCCTGCTAGTGCTGACAGGGTCGAACGCCAAATACAGCAAAGCTTGGCGCTGAGGACGCTAATAGTGGGGGTGGGACTTTTCCTCGCATTTTTGCTCTGCCCCTCATTCCCTTCCTTTCTGACACAACACACTCTTCGGACAAATTTTATTCGAGAAAACGGTATACAATTGATGGAGTCTCAAAATGATATCGTTCTAAACGACGTGTCCAACTTCTTGGGCAACAACCAAGATGGAGACGACCAAACACTAGGCGAAGATCTCACTGGTCTCAATGAATTCTCACTGCCACAAGCCGACGGAGGGAAAGATGCATGGCTCTTTCTGGCGGCTGGTTTCATGGCTGAGTTCATGGTCTGGGGTCAGCAGTTCAAGACATATGTGTGAAAAAGAGTACCACGCTGACACAGTCGTCGAAGGCCTTCCATTCTCGTTTGGTGTATTTCAAGAATATTACACTACTCATGAGCCATTCTCATCTCAAAGCTCTGGCATAGCTGTCATTGGAACAACCGCTACTGTAAGATTTGAGTCTAAGTACCTTATAATTCCATCTGACAGATACAGGGAGTAATGTATATGATCGGTCTCATCATCTTCCCAGCATACAAACAATGGCCTCACCTAGCCAGCATCTCAAAATGGGCCGGCATTCCCCTCATGGCCGCTGGTCTAATAGGCGCCTCCTTCGCTCAAAGTGTTAACCACCTGATTGTCACTCAAGGCGTCTTGTACGCCTTAGGAGGCTGTATAATCTATTACCCAATCTTGATGTACATCGACGAATGGTTTGTCCAACGCAAAGGCCTAGCATATGGCATCATGTGGGCCGGAACAGGATTTGGAGGCCTCACCATCCCGTTCATTCTGAATGCGCTACTCTCCAAGTACGGATTCCGCACGACTCTTCGAATCTGGGCCCTTGCCCTCCTCGTGCTGGCTCTTCCCCTCGTCCACTTTCTCCGTCCTCGACTCCCAATCTCCCCATCCTCCCAGTCACCCCGCTACGGCCTGTCATTCCTCAAGTCCTCCTCTTTCTGGCTCTTACAGCTTGGCCTAGTAATCGGTTTGTACCCTCTTCGGACCTCAAATCCCCTCCTTTAATGTGAAGTATACTGACTCGAAGATTCCAACCCACAGAATCCCTAGGCTACTTCATCCCCTCAATCTACCTCCCCCTCTTCGCCCGCTCCCTCGGCCTCTCACCAAGCATCGGCACCCTCCTCATTGCCCTCCTAAACGCAGCCGGAGTCGTAGCAACCATCCTATTCGGCATGCTCGTCGACCGTTTCCACGTCACGACTGTAATCCTCCTCTCCAGTCTCGGAACAACCATTTCTGTGTTTCTTCTCTGGGGCCTCTCCACTGCTTTACCATTGCTTGTCGTATTTAGCATCGTGTACGGCTTCTTTGCTGGTGGATTTGTGAGTACGAATGCGGGGGTCATTAAGTTGGTCAAGCAGGGAGATGGGAGTGCGGACGTGGGGATTCTGTTGGGGATTATTAGTGCAGCGAGAGGGGTGGGCGCTATTGCTTCGGGACCATTGAGTGATGCTGTTTTGAGAGGAAGGCCGTGGGCGGGTGAGGCAGGTGGCGCGTATGGAAGTGGTTATGGTGGTCTGATTGTGTTTACCGGAGTCAGTGCTGCTGTTGGTGGTGTGGGATTTCTGGGTAGGAGATTGGGGTGGGTGTAGGTGTGCGAGACGTTGACTCGAAAGATAGAATTTGACCTCGTGTGTCGAGTCTCTGGACACTTGATGTTCTTTAAGGACAAGCTCCAGCAGATCTCAGAAGATCTGAATGAATCGTGGTTTTTGTATATTTTGAGGCAACGTGATTGAGACTCTTACTTCGTGTTGAGGTTCTTACTTTACTACTGTAATCGGGTCTGATACGCTTTTTGCGCGATTGGCGCGAAATGCGCTGTGAGCGGAATCTGCGCTGTGAGCTAGACACAAGATGGACCATGAGCACGCTGTGAGCTCTGTCTTACTCACTTGAGATGAAAACCTCAACATTAAAGGGCGGTTGCCAGAGCGCATTACAGAGATAATTTTTGTTCCCTGGTGATGACTTGCTCAATCATATGAGAGCATATCTCTCTTGATTTCCTACAAAATCATAATTCTGATGAGACGACCCGTCTCACATGCCCTCCAAACTCCAATGAATGCCCGCCGCCATGCCCGCACCCGAAAATACCAATCCCAGTAACGAAGGTCGATGCAGCAAACTAAATTCCCAAGGTCTCCAAGGACTTACTTAAACAGCACCCATATCCTTCAGCGCCCCCGCTAACCTTCTATAATCACGTAATAACTCCAAGACTTCATTAAGTTTCATGTCGCCTGGGTTTTGCAACTCCATGAACCGCTTGATAGGTGGTGCGATCTTGGGGATCTCTTTTGGTGGAAGAGATGGTGCCAACTCTGGGAATGCCTGCGATTATATTAGCTTGACAAAGGAAGATAGAAAATGGGGGAGAGCTTACACTTGTCAACTCAGCAACGCCGCCATCAGGAATGCCCTTGCTCGGAGCCGGTGGTGGTGGGACAGGACTTGTAGGCGTTGTCCTCCCAAAGCCACGCATCATTCCCATTCCAGAAATCCTGGCCATAGGATTTAGTGAATTACCAAGATTTCGCATAGAATCCACAAGAGCCGGAGTTCCCGATGGTGATGGTGCTGGTGCAGCATTGTGTAATGGCGAAGGAGCTTTTTCTCCCTCTTCGGCAAATGCAACTTTCTTGCCGCCACTCCCAGAACTTCTGATGCTATCCGTGCTTCTGTCCCGGACTATTTTGCGACCACTGATCATACTGAGGACTTTGTCGTCTACTTTTGCTCCCGAGTCTGCTCGTTTCCTATTCTCGCTATTGTCAGGGGTATGAAGCGAGCTTGCACCACTTTCTGATTCTGCATCTTCGGGTGGAGGGGTGCTGACGAGCTTCCTGGCGTCATCGAGAGTTTTTGGGACAACCATTTCAGGCTTGTGACCTGTTGTTTCGTCCTGACGCTCCTTCAGCTTCCCTAGTAGAAACTTGTAGCTGTCTCCAAGACTGTTGCCGATGCTCTTGAAGCTTTGATCAGCGGTATTCATGACAGCGTCACTAGCAGCATTCAAGACAGCCGGTGATTGAAACATATCACTAAGTCGGCGGTTGTGCACCTGCAGCTGTGGTCGAAGCGTACTCGATGGCGATGACTCGGCTTTTGAGATGGTTGGACTTGCATTTTCAGATGTAACCTCCGCCGCGGAAGCACCCGACGGTGGACTGATGCCAACCTCCATCGAATCGAATTTCTCCGCTCTTGGTGTCACAGGTTTTGGTGGACCGGATGGAACCTCGTCCTCCCTCAATGAGGCCAAGTCGACGGTTTCCAGGAACGTGATCGCAGCTTCTAAATTCGTCAAGCAGTATGCGGCCTCTCCTTCTCTCTTTGCTTCATTCCGAAACCTCTGAATGAAATATAGATTGCTGATGACATTGATTCCTTCTGGTCTAGATGTGATCAATGTATATATCAGCATTGGCATGATTTCATCTGCAGACGAAGATGGATGAAAATGCGAAAGTGTCTCGACGATATTCCTGTGGGCAGCTTTTAGATGCTGAAGTTTGCCCAGCGGGTACTTCTTGTCGTTCATGGCAATCAGTTCCTCTCGGGCATCTTCAAGCCATGCTCTGATTTCCTTCTCTTTGCCCTCATTTGCATCCGCATCTTGGTTTTGACCCAAATCAATACCTAAATCTGTAAGACCAATACCGACAACTGAGAGAGCGGCTGTCTTCGACCGCAATTTCTCATCTTGAGCTTCGTCTTGAGTACTCCTGTGCCTCCATATCCTGTCGTATATGCCTTCAGTCACCCTTCTTTCTACAGCTTCTTCCAGGGCGACCCGTTTCCGCTCGAGTACTTTGCGTGCACGTTTTCGCTCAGCAATCTCTTCCACAGTAAGCATTTGCTCAGAGTCCCTTCTCTCAGGTGGTATTTTCGGTCGATCTTTGTTCCCAATGGAGGCTGCTTTCGCCCTTAGTCGACTTGTTACTGACGGCACAGGAGAACTTTCACGATGTTGCCTGGAAGATAATGCGGATATATGAGTGTTGATATGAGTTGCAGCAACAGTGTAGAAGTCTTGGAAGAGAGCGGACAACTTCTCGATCGATGGTGGTGTGGGATGGACCTTAGCTGACAGTGAGTCTATGAAGCTGGGAAACTGTCAGTATGTATAGAAGAGACTAGACAGTATAGCTCACCTGTCACTCAAGCTGACAAGCTCTATGGGAAGCTCGTCAAAATCATCTGGCAATTTCCCATGGCCCTCATCCGCCGTTTCATTATCCTCATCTTCCTCTGAGGTCTTCTCAAACGCGTCTGGCTGTCTTTTGGACTTGCCATTATGCACAACCACATTTGTCTTATCCGCCATGATGCTCTCTGGTGTTACTCCATTCTGAATGGTGCTAGCTCTGCTTCCCCGCGTTATAGGATCCGGACTGGGAGGTGTCTCGACTCTCGAAAAGGACTTCGACAGATGCAACGGACGGGGACGCTGGGCGTCGCTCTTCTTTTTATCTGGACTTGCCATAAAGTCTGGGAGTGAGAACACCATCTTGTCAGTAATCGCTTGCATTTTCAAAAGATGTAGAAGAAGGAAGGGCGAGGAGCTACCTTTTGAATGTGGGCCGGTGATGGTGCATGAATTGTACACACCTATATGAAACTCTGATCAAGCCGGGAGTCAGGGTAAACGAATGTGAAGAGCGGAGAAGAAGGAAACAAATGTAATATTAGAGCAGCCTATTACATCTCCACAGTCAAGGTAGATCCACGAGAAATAGAATTGATTCGAAGGCGTTGCATAAGAGACTCCGTTCACTCCGAAGTAACATAATGCCTCTGCAGTATACGGATATGACGCGGTTCCTTCGAGCTTTGTTATCAGACGGCATGGAGCCTAGACCCTATCTTACTGACCTGCGTAATTATGGTCATGCTTAGGCGAATATTTGAACACTGTATGGCTCTTTGAAGACCTGAGGCATCCACATTTATATAGCCACTCTCTCAAAGGCTATAATCTACCGACCTCTGATACACCCCTCTTCTCAACCCCTGCATGGAGGCGTGAGGGAATCAATCACAAGCCCGCATGATCGACTTCATCATCATCATAGCCTCCGCCTGGTGCACCTAACTCGAGTCGTTCCTCAACATCCTTTCCTTTCGCCCTCTTGTTCCTTTAAGATTTCGTTACATTTCCTTCAAGATGCATCTGCATCGGCAGCAACACGAATGCACTTCTGCAGGCAGAGTCACCGCCCAGTTACTGCTCTCGTTTCTCGCCTTAACACCTACTGTTGTTGCCTCGGGTGCGTCACGTCAACAAGCAGTTCTACCTCCATTTCTGGCCGAACCGCAACTTCCAGATACTCGAAATAACGAACATGTTTTTGTAGGCACCCTTTGTCTTCCATTGTATGCTGTTTCTAACAAAGTGTTTAGACTTTACGACATGTCTTCCACCATAATTTAAATCGCCCCGCCGAGTACATGCGACTCGATGTAGCGAAAGATGCCCCTGCAGTATGGATGGAACAGGAGGATGGCCGCACAGAAGAGGTCGATAGACCCCTTGTTGTTCGAGATAGCTCCATGCATATGCATCGATTAAAGGATAGACGGCCGTCTGTGGTAGATCCAAGAGTGGCTGCGGCCAGAGAATACACTCAAGTATGGGACTCACCAGAAGATGAATGGACACTCGACAACATCAGCGGGCCCGACATTACAGATGTAGGGACTGTTTTGACCTTTGCTCAAATGGCGGCAAATGCGTACGTCGACACGCCAGACACTGGAGACTGGAAGGAACCTGGAGGAGGATTCAACAGAACTGACGATAATGGATTTGGTTGGGAAAGCGACGGTCTCCGAGGGTACTTATATGCTGACGAGACAAATTCCACGATCGTGATAGGAGTGAAGGGAACGACCTTGGCAATATGGGATGGAGACGGAACAACTACGAACGATAAGGAGAATGATAACCTTTTCTTCAGCTGTTGCTGTGGCCAGCAAGGAAGTACGTTTTATCGTCAAGTATGCGACTGTGCTTCAGGCACGTATACATGCAACTTGACTTGCCTCAGGAAGAGCCTTACCAAGGAGAATCGGTACTATGCTGCAGGACGGTATCTCTACCAGAATGTGACAGCTATGTATCCTAATTCTCAGGTTTGGTTGACGGGACATTCTTTGGGAGGTGCGGTCAGTGCTCTGATTGGGCTCACGTACGGCTCCCCGGCTATCACGTTTCAGGCTGTCCCGGATGCTCTACCGGCGAACAGACTCGGTCTTCCCGTTCCTCCTGGAGTCGATCCCGATAGACCAGGCCAACGCGAGTTCACCGGTGGTTTCCATTTCGGTCAGAATGCTGATCCCATTTTCATGGGAACTTGCAATGGAGCAACCGCTACGTGCTCATATGCAGGCTATGCACTAGAAAGTGCGTGCCATAGCGGCAGAGAGTGTGTTTACGATACTGTCAATGCAAACGGCACCAGAGTTTCCATCATCACGCACAAGATTATTTGGGTCATTGAGAATGTGATTAAGAAGTGGACAGTTGCTCCAGAATGCAAATTTACACCAGAATGTTATGACTGCCCCCTTTGGAAGGAAGTCACTGGCAATAGCAGCAAGACTGCAACATCGCCGCCATCGACATCTAGCAAGACGAAAACCAGGACTCGAACAGCGACTTGTCAGACGCCTGGATGGTGGGGATGCCTGGATGAGACTACCACGACCGGTTCAACCTCTACCAGCAGTGTTACAACTACATCGACCTCGACCTGCAAAACTCCAGGCTGGTTTGGATGCAATGATGAGAAGACTACCGCGACCAGTAAATCGAGCTCGACCATACCCACCGCTACGTCGACGTCGACTTCCTCAACGTCGACCTCTACATGTAAAACACCAGGATGGTTTGGGTGCAATGACCCCACATCCAAATCATCTCCATCAAGCTCAGCAAGTTCTTCATCCACTGCAACATGCGAGACACCGGGACGAATCTGGGGATGCAATGATCAGACAACAACGACGACTGCCACTCAGTCACATGCTATCACATCACCTCCAGCGTTTCCTACTCCTACGTCTGGTGTACCGGACGATGTTGAGCCATCTCATTGCGTCAAGAGAAGCTGGTTTGGTTGGTGCAAGGAATGGTCGGTACCATTTGTATGGAAAGAGGACATTTAGATTGTACAATGATTTAGAAAGGAGTGGGCATCGGGTAGGGGAATCGGCGTTTGGATATGGTCCCAGGACAATAGTAGGACTTCGGCAGCATCGGCGTATACATTACAGCATTGAATACATTTTGATACCATTTATTGAGATTACTTATGCACCCATTCTGCTTTCTTCTTCTCAGCAAAAGCTTTCATCCCAATCTTCTGATCCTCACTCCCAAATAAGCTGTGAAATACCCTCCTCTCGTATTCAACTCCATCTCTGACACCCAGATCTTGACTCTTGTTCACAACCTCCTTTCCAGCCATAACAGCAACCCTGCTATACCCAGCAATCGTCTCTGCAGTCTTCAAAGCTCCCTCAATCAACTCCTCCCAACTTGCAAACGTTCTGGCAGCAACACCCCACTCACCGGCCTCCTTACCCGTGAAATTCTTCCCAGTCAAAATCAACTCCATAGCCCTCGCCTTCCCAATCGCTTTCGTAAGCCTCTGACTTCCTCCGGCACCAGGTATAGTCCCCAACTTAATTTCCGGCTGGCCGAAATTCGCGTTCTCGGTACAATACAGAATATCGCACATCAAAGCTAATTCACAGCCGCCTCCAAGAGCATGGCCGGAGACGGCAGCAATGATGGGTTTCTTTATGGTGGTGGTGAGCAGGGACCAGGATTCTATGAAGGAGTTTGTGTAGGCTTCTGAGAATGTGAGGGTTGACATCTCTTTGATGTCGGCGCCAGCTGCGAACGCTTTTTGGGAGCCGGTTAGGAGGATGGCGGAGATGGAGGGGGAGGAGTCGAAAGCTTGGAGGGCGTGGTTTAGTTCGTCTATCAGCGGGGTGGAGAGGGCGTTGAGGGCTTTGGGACGGTTGAGTGTTACTGTGATATGTTAGATGCATATTGTGGGGATGGGAAGGAGGGTTCCACTTTGTCCTACACCTGGCCGTGGTTCGGTGGTCTGAATATACTCGTAGGACTTCACTGACCAGGCAGAGTAACTGCGAGCTATTGTGGGGAGAGCAGAGCTCGAAGCTCTGAATTGAGAGGCAATTGGCCTCATAGTTCTGAAAGTAATCATCTTTGGAGCTTGAACTTTCTTGACTCGATAAATTCAAGTTGTGAATCAATTGTTCAATATAAATTCAAGACCAGCTTGAATTCCAATCATGCAACCATCACTCACAAACATCCGAGGATGGCTCCGGCTCCGGAAGCTTAAGCCGAGCTACCCCTGCTCAGTCAATGTAACAGCACGTGACTGTGATACGGAATAAAGTATCTCCTTCTTCCGCTAATTTCGAGCTACGAATTGAACAACGCGACGATTCAACGAAACGAATAATTACGAGTCCTGTCCTGCAAACTTTGCGCCACGACAAGCAGCCTCCGCAAACAACACCTTGCATCTCTCCGCGCACCGTGGAATTGCTCCTCAAGCTTGGAAGACTGTATTATTGAAAACATCTGGAATTGGAACGGAGAGAAAAGATGGATTCTGTGGAGCCTGAACAAACCCCTTTCGCGGCAGTGTCTGCGCATACCTCGAGGCTGCAACGTGTGAGTCTTCGAACGATCTGGGAATGCGTTTGTTATTTGGAGATGATCAATTTACTGACTAGATGGGAAATAGCAATACCAAGCATGGTTAGACAAATCGACGCCTTATGTACCGTATCGATGGTTGGGGACAATCTTCCTTCTGATGATCTTCTTCACGAGAATATTTGTCGCGCAAGGATGGTACATTGGTACGACCTCTCTTACACCACTTCTTAAGACGCTCTAACATATCTTTAAGTGGCTTATTCACTCGGAATCTACCTTCTCAATCTCTTCCTAGCATTCCTGCAACCGAAATTCGATCCCTCGAACGAGGCTATAGATAATGATATGGAGGATGGATCCGCAGGTGGTCTTCCTACGAAACAGGATGAGGAATTCAGGCCTTTTATTCGTCGTCTTCCTGAGTTCAAATTCTGGTACTCGGCTACCAGAGCAATCGCAATTGGTTTCGTGTGTACTTGGTTCGGAATCTTCGATGTCCCGGTTTTCTGGCCCGTGTTGGTGGTTTACTGGTTGATTCTCTTCGCGTTGACGAGTACGTATACCAAGTTCTGAGGATGAGTGAAAAGAAGAGACCCAAGAGTGAGACAAAAAGAAGCATGGCTTGCTAACCCAAGAAACAGTGCGGAGACAAATCCAACACATGATCAAATACCGATACGTCCCCTTCTCCTTCGGCAAAGCGAAGTATACCAAGAACAGCTCTTGATCGAAATCGGGACAATGGTGGAAACGAGATGCAGGATGTATCGAATATGATGGCAAACCATCAATTGTACAAAAAGTATTTGTTGCAACAAAGGAGAGAAATGCATGATGCTTGGGAGCGAGACTTTAAAGCCCTTTAATGATGATTCTATGCTGCTATACCTAGGGTTTTTACGGTCATACAAGGTTGGGCTGGATGGGCTGCTAGATGCTTGCCGGAAGATAGATGGGAATATGAATGATCGCCAGCAAATCTTTCGAGTCTTTCTTGGCTGTGTTTGTGAAGTGAGGAAACCTTTGCTAGAGGTGGTTGTTTTCCTTCCTTGTTTAGAAACAGTTCTCAACTTTCGCACCTCCCCCGCTTCACTGGGACATCCCCAAGGAGAATAAAAGTTTGGAGCTCCTCATTGAGGAAACCTCTAAGAAGCGCGCTGGAACTAAGTGTCCTTCTCTGAGTGAAAGGGTCAAATGCAACGATGTTAACTTCTTTATATGGCAGTCTTTTTGTCTTATTTCTTGTTAGGAATTGGGAGTGTCTCCAAACCGCCAATTACTACCCCCACACAGCATCAATTTCTAGCTTGATCATACTTTCTTGACGCTGCCTTCTTTTTGAAGTCCCTTAAGCTCATTTGTGGAAAGCTGTTTCTCATTGGCAAATGTAAAGTTCTTCCCAAAGCTAGAGGGCTCACATAACGCCAGCTCTGAAAGATAATAATTCCTTCTAGGAGAATACTTGGGACACCTCCCCTAATCCAACGACATGTTGAAATAACACTGCGATTTATGATATCCTGCTATCGTGAAGCGTGTTGGCGGATCTGAAGTCCGACGGTAGAGAGTACAGCAATGACTGGGTTTATCCCACTGCATTGCTCCAGCTGTCTTGATTGGGAACAACACTTCTCAATCTAGGATTTGGCATTAAAACCATCCGCCTCCAACTTTGTGACAAGCCGTTCTCGAAGTCGCTTATGACTTCAAAATTTTCCCTTAGAGCAAGTGCTTTATTTCTATGGTACTCAGCGTTGGCGAGCTGGTATGTAAGTCAGCTGGTGACTTTGTCACATGAAGGCTAAGTGTACTTGATAGCGTTTCTGCATCACCAAGCAAGATCCGCAGCTGGAGGCTGGATTTGAGCCCAAGCATTATCATCTGATAGTTTGATATTTCAACTTGCCACGAAGAGAAGAATGACATGAGTGATATTTGCTGGCAATGTAGGCCGTAGCCTGACTTCTGCTTGCAGAGGACTTTGTTTTGCGAGCTGATAGTTTTTATGACAAGCTGGGAGACCTTGTTTGCAAGCAGTAAGAGTGAGATAGTATTCGTGCTTTTCAACTCCAAGAAGTAGAAGTCTGTTTTGAGGCGAAGACTATCTGGGATTTCTCGCACATGTTCTGCATAATTGTATACATTGTTTGCGTAGGCATGGAATAGGTGCTGTATTTGTCCAAGGAACAAATGAAGGGCAAAGTAGCTGTGAGCCAGCTTAAAGCAAACCGAATTTTGCCAATGTAGATTAGCAAAGGTGCACTGTTTGTTTTTATGTTGTCGGACAAAATTCCTAAATGACAGGAACTTACCCCTTGCATAAGTTCAATAAAGTGAACTGCTGCATGTGTCATTTTTCTTGGTCAAGTATTCACCTCGCACATGGTTCCAGCGTGAAAATAAATACCTAGTCTATGAAATGGCCTCACGCGAGATTCGCGAAATACGCGGCTACGTGAGTCATGCTTGGGTGCTATTCATTCCTCATTGCTTATTCTTACGCCTTCAAATAGACATGCTGTTGTACGTTGATAGACCTCCGACCAGGTGGCCCTTTCGGAATTGTGGTTTGCTGCTGGGAACAAGTCTCTGGTTGTTTCATATAGGGCAACTTCTAGTCAGGCAAACTTGGACAATTCTAAGGCTTCTGAATGTTCCTCATGCATAATCTTCCAAATTCACCGATGCCAGAGTATTTCCCGATATATACCCCACTAGCGCAGGGCTGGTGTCATTACAAACAGTCTTTGACCAAGGAGAGGAAGCTACAAATACATCTTAGAGAATTGCCACTGCAAAGAACCATGGAAGTTTGGCTTTGGCTCCGTGTCGGATCATGTTTGAGGAAGTAATTGGGTGAGTTCCGCAGATTTAAGATGGCGTCATCTGGCATGGAAATTGGAGTGTTGTTTTCGTCGGGTGAGTTTTTTGTCATTGCTTGGGAGCTTTGAAGTCTTGCTGGTGTCCAAGCCCTTGTGATGTGCCTTTGAAGAGTACGAGTCTGCACAAGACTATAACCAAAAGTCTGCAATACTAACATTGTAAGACGACGGTGCCCAGATTACATAAGTAAGTTGTTCCATCATATCTACTGGAAAGATTCTTCCAGGGAGTCTTTCCTAAGTGAGACATGAAGAGCGCGAGCCCTTCAAGGCGACGTGGCTGGAAGGGGTTGTGTTGATAGGCCAACTTCTTGGCATTATCCACCGGTGACCATACTTCTCCAAAACCCTCCACATCTTCTAATTCCCTCTCCATAGTCACTCTACGCTCTTCACTCCTAGGCACAGACCAGGATTCAAAGTCCTCCGGCTTCGACACAGGACTTCCTTCAAACGAGAAACATCAACATCATTCACCTTCCATCAAGGCCTCGTGCCGAAGTTGAGCCGTGAACCGAACCCGCGAACCGACGCCCCTTTTCCGAACGAGGGATAATGAGAGGGAGTACGAGCCAACTCCTGTAGTTACGCGAGAGGAGATGGATGACTGTGACAGTATTAGAGAGTCCACACAAGATAGAGCGCTTGTACGCATAGAGAAGACGTGCCATATTGAACCTCATTCAGTGTTGGCAAGGGGAAAGGTGCACAGCGTTCAATGACCTCCCAGCAGGTTCATGTGTATTAACATCTCTGTGAAAACACTCTGTAGTTGGTGTATATTAGGGGTGGGTATAAGCTGCGAAGCGAGTCCACCGTGTGACCTCCGATTGAGAATATTGATATTAGAGAGGTGGAGGAAGATCGACGTGATGAGCTTTTGTAGAATGTAGTGGTGACATTTCCAGGTTGCCAACCATGATGCGTTGAAGTCCACCGAGGACGTCTCTTTGTGTGTTTAAAAACAAGCCTGGATCTAAGTCATGCTGTGGGTGATGGATGATTTGGTGGTTGCTACCCGTCACACTGGTACCCAGTCAGTAATGGCACGCGCAATGGTGCACAGCTTGCAATAATCACCCGGGACAAATGGGGATATTGGCTTTGCGGAAGAGGTAAGATATGACATCCTCTGCGCCTTCCTTGGTAGCTGGGTTGGCTTTAGCGTTTCGGATTTTGATCTGCTCTTTCCCTTGCTCGCGTTCCGCTAGTCGTTTACTTCAACACGACAGAGCTCTGAACCACAACATTTAATAAGACAAGCATTGTTTGCCATTGGATTACCACCATTACTCGTGTTATTCTTTCTAATCACGTCGTCTCATCATACCTCGCGACACAAACGTATCCTTCGTCAACTTGGCTAGCCAATATGTCTTCCCTCCTATTGCGCGACCTCTTCGCGAACCAAGCTGTTGACGACGACCAAGCATCCAGTCCCACAGAACCATTCCCTGCTTTTGACCCTGCTCATGGTGTCAGCGACTTGACCGTACAGTCTCCAGCTTTGACGGAACTCACAGTTGAGCAGTTCCTTGATCAACAAAGAAAGGTAGTGATGAGCTCGACGTTCGAAAGCCCTGAGGGCGCAAACGATAACCAAGAACGTACGCGACAGATTCGCCTCTGTCTGCCTCAAGTATCCTCTGTTGCTGTGTCTTCTTCGATCTCTGACCGCAACTCCCCCGGATCGTACAATGGCATCGCGGCCAGCCAGCCCAGCACTAACGTATCAGATTTAGGTAACACCACTTCAGCGTTCTCCGACTGGGGCACTGATTCCGAAGAAGGAGACGATTCTGAGGACTTGGACTCGGACCTTGGAATTGAGAACGGCAATCAAGAAGACTCTGATTCTGACTCTAAGCATGGAGACAAGATCGACCACGGAAGGCCTAGTGGACTAAATACGCCTCAATCCAGCCAAGAAGGACGCGAATCGGAGGAATTTGGCAATGAGATCGGGCTGAGCAATCTGAGCATACATGGATCTGTTTCCTCGCTTCCCACTGACACGACGAGAGTCCCACTCTATCCCCGAGTCGATGGAAGTGTTGATGGAGGCAGTGACACTATCAACGCTCTTACTGATCCTCTAATGCCGGCATTTGGTGAGTGGGAGCTGCGGTAAACTATGCGCGCCGATTACATACTGACTGTATGATAGCGTCCCCAATTTCAAAATCTAGACCTGTAAGTCCAATTCTTGAATGGCCCATTTGTCTTTGGTCATTTGTATTGCTTCGTGTGTATTGATTCCACAAGGTATCCATAGCCGAGTCCACAGATTCCCTCAATCTTTATCTGATGAACCGAGATGAAAACACCGACCTGTGCTGGAACCATATAGAGCTTCGAGGTTTGGCTGACTTTGTGAGAGAGTGTATTGCGGTATGTAAAGCAAGAATAGGACTGAGAATTGGACATGGAAGGAAAGAGCACAAGCTAATTCCAAATTGTAGCAACAAGTGCTAATACCATCGGAACAAGCTACTGAGCTTTCGGTTGTATTACAGGCAGTCATTGGCGACATATATGATATGTCCATCTACGACTTTGTCAAGTCTCACATGGACAAGCTTATCAAATGCATCATCGAGAATACAGATTCTATTCAAGGCCCTCATGCACATGAACTCGTAACTCAATGCGAAAGGCTGAAGATCATTCTCGAATCTAGGTTTAAGGACAACTGGGAGTTATTCGATGCTACTCGACTTAACGAAATGCTAGGCGGCACTGTTGAAGATCGCAAGTCCGACGGAGAGTTCCCACAAGTTATTGGGGAAATTCAAGAGGGAGGCATACTCCGAGGCATGACTATGAGTGTCAACAACGCTGGGACAGGTCCTCGCTTCACAGCCCCGATCACGACCTGCGCTGCTTCACGAAGCCACACTGAGGGTGCTACGATCTTTGTGCCCGGAACGTAAGTTCCATTGATTCCATTCCACATGATAGAAGCTGCTAACGAAGCATAGATGGTGGCCAAACAAGGCAGCCGCGGCTAGAGATGGAATCGTGGATGCGCGGGATAGTTGCGTGACTTTAAACCAGCGCTATGGTCATGGTCCGACTGCCCTAATCCTAATGTAAGCGTTTCATAGACTCTACTTTGAGAGTTTCTCTGCTACTGAGAGCAATGCTGACTCAATTCAGGAGGGGAGAGGAAATCGATGGCCCAGAATTGAACATGACCCAATACAGCGTTGTGGAGACAAAGGAGGAGCAGGAGATGCACTACTTGATGCCCCGTCGTGGTCCTTTCCGATTGCTTCGCGGATACAAGTTGAAGAGCCGATACGCACCAGTTGCTGGCTATCGATACGATGGACTGTGGGTGCTACATCTTTGTTGAAAAACGACAATCGCTGACTATGATTACAGATACGAGCAACATCAGTTTGGTCTCAAGACCGATTCTATTAAGAATTGCTATAGATATACAGTCATCTTGAAGAGACTGGATTACCAACCCCCCCTGGCCACCTTACTGAACACTCCCAAGCCTCATCAGCTGGATCAATGGGCAGTTTACCTACAATGGATCGCTCGTGAGATGAAGAAGGAAGGCAGCCAGATTAAGTACGCCACCTGGCGGCTTGCTGAGGAGCAACAGATGCGAGAGAAAGATGAGTGGTTGGTGGAGCAAAACGCTGCTAGTACTGCTGCCGCTCGTGGATTCCGAAAGTACGTTACAGATCCCAGAAAAGCTGGCTACAAACAGAGCTAAGTCGTCAAGTTGAATTCGGTTGGTACTTATTTGGACTGTATCCTTTGAACAGGGGTTGGGCCATCGAAGTAGCTGGTTTGGATGCATGTGGGCTGAAGTTGGATGAGGAGTAGAGTTTTTGTGGTTAATGCTGGCTGCTGCCTTAGGCACACATTTGTGTAGCTTTAGATGACTAGCCCGATTAGGCGACATCGCAACTAATGTCAAGATGCACTCACTTTCAACTATGACGACCGCATCAAAAAGTGAATTTAAGCACCGCAAATTTAAGGTTACCATTAAGACAATAGGAACGAAATTTTCACGCTAGGGCTTCTGCCCACGCTAGTAAATTGTAAAATGGCCACCGCCCATCTGGAATCTCAACCTTCCTCCAAACGTCAAAAATTCTCTTCCCAAACTTCCCCCTCATCACCAACCACAACTCAACACCCAACTGAAGAACAATCCGCACCATCATCCAACATGCCTCGCGATCCCGCAGCGATTGTTGCTGAGAGCACTAATTTGCAAACTTCTCGTGAGCTTGAAGTTGGTATCACCCATTATGTCGACGAAGAGGCAGCTGGTTTCGCTGGCACCCTGAAGCAAAGGTACGTTGACGCAGCATTCCTCTCCCCTTGCCTTGCAACTTCTGCATTACTTGCGATAACTTTCATGCTTGCGATGTCTTCTGCGTTCAATTCTTCTGTTTTGCATGCTTGATCGCGATTTTCAAAAAAAGTTCACTTTCGGCACGCTGTCCAAGTTGGACAGCTTGATCTCATTCCTGTTATATTACATGAAGAACATACTACAGCTACATCGTGTCTATACTCCTACATCACTATCAGTCTCATAATCATCACCTGAGAGTCTCTGTCCAGAATATTCACTATCGTGCGAGATTTCGTCATCAGATGCCCAGCACTCCTCAAAGCAGGGGCAAGCCAGCTGCTCCTTCCCTGAACATCGTCGTGTAGTACGACGAACATCATCCAAGGTCCACCGTCGTCGTTTTCAGAATCACCCTCGTCGCATAATTTCTTTTGAGCTTGGCACTGTTCACTTCATCTTCACTTCACCTTCGGTTTTGCGAAATTACGCCATTTTCACTCTTTCTTGGCTACAATCTAACAATTCCATAGATACGCTGACTTCGGTGTATTCGAAATCGATCCTAATGGCAAGGTCGTTACTTTGTGCGATGACGAAGCCCCGGACTGTATTGCCGATGAAGAAGATAATGCGGAGAATGATCCAGTCATCACCACCAAGGTATGGTTCCTGTCAATTCTTCTCACCTGTCCCCATTCAAACATTCTTCACAAGATGTCAGGTTTTTTGGTCTCCTGCTAATACTACATAGCGACCCGAGCCTAAGAAAGTTACTGCCACTTCGGACAGCAATGGCGCCGCGGTTGTTGCCAACGACGCTTCTGTTGCTTTCACTATGACACCTGAAGCCAACAAATTCCTCACCCTGCATTTCGGAGCTGAAGGCGTAGATAATCTCATTGCTCTCTACAAAGCTATCATCGCCAAGCCTGATCTGAGGCCCAACGCTCACCCCCGTGTCACTTCACTTCCAGTCGAGAGAGATGACCGCTTCGAAGTTCACGAGAATCTTCGTCGTATCTTCCACAGCCGCTTTGTCAGCGAGCATGAGAATGGAAAGATCGTTGTGATGGCCGCACACCCCAATGCACGAAGATCCCAACCTCAAAACCAACCCCGCAACAATGGTCAAATCAAAGGCAAGGCCGGCTGGGCTGCCAAGGGTGGCGAATTCCTTCATATGACCTTGTATAAGGAAAATAAGGATGTTAACGAAGTTATCTCTTTCATTGCTCGCATGATCAACACCAAGCCTAAGGACTTTGGCTGGGCTGGAACCAAGGACCGTCGGGCTGTAACCTGCCAACGTGTCAGCGTTCGCCGCCAAACCGCAGAGAGAATGAGAAAGATTAACGCCACTCTTCGAAACTCCCAAATTAGTAACTTCAAGTACGAGAAGCAAGGTCTTGAACTTGGTGAGCTTGAAGGAAATCTGTTCGTCATTGCTCTTCGCGATTGCGAGTTCGACGTTCCTGCTGGTTTGAATGAAGCTGCCAAGCTTAAGTTCATCAAAGAGTTCCTCGCCGTTCGCGTCAAGAGCCTGCAAGAGAACGGATTCATCAACTACTTCGGTCTTCAACGCTTCGGAACTTACGGTGTTGGCACTGACGTTGTCGGATTGTTCATTCTGCAAGGTAACTTCGAAGCCGCAGTCAATGCAATCCTTACCTTCAAGAAGGACACGATGATAGTCGACTCGGTATTCGCGGTCCGTGACAAAGTCAACAGAGATGATGTCGCCCGTGCTACCTCTATCTACCACTTTCAAAAGTCAGGATCGGCAAAATATGCTAGAGAGAATATGCCAAAGAAATTCAGCGCCGAGCTCGCGGTCATGAACCATCTCTCCAACAACCCAAAGGACTTTCTTGGTGCTCTTACGAAGATTAATCGAAACACGAAGACTATGTACGTCCATGCATACCAATCTCTTGTCTGGAATGCCGTAGCTAGCGAACGTTGGGCCCGTTATGGCCGCAAGGTCGTCAAGGGTGATTTGGTCTTGGTCGATACGCAAGCTGAAAAGCTAGCTCGATTGGACGAAGTCGACGAGAACGGAGAGGTTGTCGTTCACCCCGCTGCTCATGACACAGCTGTCACTCACGATGATATCTATCAACGAGCTCGTGCTTTGACCGCCGAGGAAGCTGACAGTGGCAAATACACTATCTTTGATGTTGTCCTTCCTACTCCTGGTTTCGATGTCAACTATCCCGACAACGATATTGGTGATTTCTACAAGGAGTTCATGTCGAGCACGCGTGGTGGTGGCCTTGATCCGGCAAACATGCGTCGCTCTCAGAAGGACTTCAGTTTGAGCGGTTCTTATCGACTCCTCATGGGAGAGGTTTCCAAAGACATGACAGTCAAAACCCAGATCTATCATGAAGCTAACACCCAGCTTGTCGAGACCGACCTCGAAAAGCTGCGAAAATCAAGACCTCAACCGAAGGAAGAGAATGGCACTGCTGTCGAGCCTGCCCATCCTGCGGAGAAGGCAATTACCAAGACCACCCAAACTCCATCGCCAACCAATGTTCGTGGCCGCAGTCCTCCTAGCTACCACAAGACTCGCGAAGAAGAGCTTGCTATCGCTCGTGCAAAGATTTCCAGCAATTCTGGTGCTATGATGGGCTGGGCAAATCTGGCGAATACCATCGGGGAGAAGGACAAAGCCGCCGCTGAGGCCTCCCAGGCAGAGAGAGCCAAGCTCCGAGCTGAAGGTCTTGAAGGCCCATCGTTTAAGGACACCTGGCGCGAAATGCAAGGAGAGTCCTCCACTCTTACCGGTAACGAGGTCATCGAGGTCCGCGGCGAAGTCAAGGATACTCGAGCAACCGTCGCTGCCCCAGTCACCGGAGACATCAGTCAGAAGACCCCTGCCGCCGTCACTGTGGTTGACCCTCCCTCCCCTTCGACGCCAACCGCCTCTCAACCCGATCCTTCCACCCCTGAGAAGACTGTTACCGCAGCCTCTTCAACTCCCGAGCAGAATGGTAAGCGTGGCGTTGAAGAGATCTCGAAATCAGCTCCTTCTTCCCCGCGTTCATATGATGGCCTTCCAGAACACACACGAATCGCTGTCATCCTCACTTTCTCTCTTGGCCCAAGCCAGTATGCCACCATGGCTCTTCGTGAGTTGATGAAGTCCAGCGGAGTTCGCACCTTCCAACCCGACTACTTCACTGGTCGAAGATAATCAACCGTACTTGAACGATACTTTGCCTTGTTTGTTGGGCGGTCTGGCATAAAGCAAATTTGAGGTGTGGGTGCATTTGATATGGCGTTGGGTCTACACATGGAACGAGTTACTGAGTTATGCTGGTGCGCATATCAGTTATGGTACTTTGACTTTGTATCACTGCGGAAACCGACACTTCTTTTACTGCCTTTGATTAGGTGGATAGTTAAGACGGCAGATGCGTGATGTTATGGTACTTTTGTATCACTGCGGAAGCCGACACTTCTTTTGCTGCCTTTAAATAGGTGGACAGTTAATTCAGCGGATGCATGATAGCTTTGATACTTTTGTATCACTGTGAAAGCCGGCACTTCTTTTACTGCCTTTAGATAGGTGGATAGTTAAGCCGGCAGAAGCAGTTGTGGATACGGATAACAAGATATGAAAATACGGATTGTAACGGTTTGCGAGCTGACGCTTCTTTTACTGCTTTTAGATAAGTGGATAGTTAAGGTAGCCATGAATGCAGACAGTTGAATTTGTATCCTCTGGCTTCAGATGTGACTGTGATATAACTCCAGACTCCTCGCTGAGATGATATTCAAGACCTCTTCACATGAAGGAGAAATACGAACAAAGTAAGTCGATGGACGAATCTCAAGCAAATGCAGCTCTAAGCCAACCTCTAAAACCCTTTCCTCTCTGGTTCTTCTGCTTCTTACCACTAGCAACCTCAGCCGCAGCCCGAGCAGCCTGGTCCCTCTCCACAGTCATCGTCAGAGCCTGCCTGACTCTGAAATCCGCCACTTTACTTTGGAACTCATAATCGTTGCAGCTCAACAACCTCTTGTTTGGCTGTGCTTCAATGAACCTCTTGATCCAAGCTTCAGATTCGGCTTTTTCTTTGGATTGCTTTGCTACGACGGACTTTTCGTATTCGGACATGCCAGGGGTGATGGTTGATTCGGTGGAAGAGGAGGTGATGAGAGTATTGTTGGAGGAGGGCTTGGTGTCGAGGGGCGTTGTTGGCATGTCGTTGGGGAGGGAGAGCGGTTCGGTACCAGCTTGGATTTCGAAGTCCATGACTTGAGAGAGACGGTTGGAAGTTTGGATTGATTCCTGGAGAGAGGTATCGGTGACCTCGTTGATGGGACTTAAATCTGGTGCAGAAGCGTGCATTTTCGTTGCGTCTGGAGTTGAGATTTCAATTGATCGGAGATGTGTGCAGGGAAGGAGGGAAGTCTGGAAGAAAGGGGAGAGAGGAAGGAACTGGAATTTTGATGGGATGTCTAAATCTAAGCTATGGAAGTTGTGGGAGACGCCGCGGCGGGATATAATGCATCATTGTGTGACTATCTCCATGGTTGACAGCGGGAGCTTACCCCTTTTGTATTCCGAGGCTCTAGTGTCTAAAACCGGCTTGCGCTCTTTCCTATTTGGTGCCATGTCTATACTCAATCCGTTCTTCTAGAAGTACTCTATGCTCTTCACGTAACGCCGATGTATGCCAAAATTCAATGCCCCATGGCCATCTGGTGAAGCATAGGTGCTTATTTCATTGTCTGGAACGATTCCACCTTTTTTCCTTGGATGGAGTAGAAGTTGCTTTGCGTAACGTGTGATCTCTTTCCGGTCGCTTCATTGAAGATGGAACATCCATGAATCGCAGCGTTTGGCGGAGTCTACACTGTCGAATTGTTAGCTTTGCTTCCCAGACTTATATTCTCTTCATGATGTTGGTATCAGAAGACTTACAGTGCAAGCTAACAGCTACGTTCTCTGGATCTGGGTTGGATATTTTGTGAAGGCCTAACTCGTCGGCCATGTAAGTGACTTGATTCGAGCTGTATAGCGTCTCTTTGATCACTTCTGGTGGCGTGTTGTTGTTCTTGGGAAAGTTGTACCGAGTTTCTTTCAAGGAGCCTTTGAGTACTTTCATCAAACAGTGTGCATCAGCATGATCATGTACAGGACTCCCTTTGCCAGGTGTCCAGACAAGAACTAGCTATGAAATTGTCAGCACATGATTTTGGTGATGTGTAGAACTGAACATACTAGATTGCTCTTCCCGTTGCCTTCATCGACAAGATTTCTCGTGTAACCTCGACTTAAGTCCGAGAAGGAATATTTATCCCACTCCGATTCTTTGGAGTCATATTCTTGCATAAATCTTTGAAGTTCTTGCACATCGACATCTTCAGAATCAAGACCAGACGAAGGGCCTAGGGTTCTAGACAGATCTCCAACCAGCTTGTGAAATGAATCTGTGGGAGCTGATTTTTCCGGTCTAGTGCGCGCTGGGTCTTCTGCAGCTACTAGAGCTTGCATGCCTAGAAGAACGAAATAAGATAGGACTTTCTCTTTGAGATGAAGAAATTGAGACCGAAATTTTCAATCGAAGCAAGCAAGGGTGTAGGAACCGACCTTTTAAGCTAGTAAAGCAAATAATGGAGAAAATAATGGAATCAATTTAGAAAGAGTTCTTTCAAGTCATAAAGCAGATTCATACAAACTTTGGAGTCTGGTGGACTCATACGTAGCATTTCAAGACATGAGACTTGATCGCGGGATTTTCCAGGGACTTCTCTAGCGGGGTTGTCATTGCCCCTCCATGCTGCTTGGCACGCAATCATCTCTCCGACAAAGCAACTCCCAAAATTCGACTCGAGATCTGCCACGATGCCACCGAAAGGAAAAGCTGGAGACAAAGGCGGAGCAGCGAAAGGTGGCAAGGGAAAAGGAAAGGGAGAGGAGAAAGAGGACAAAGGAGGCAAAGTCAAGGGCGCGCAGCAGATCAATGTCCGACACATTCTGGTACATTACTTCCTGAGCTGAGGAATAGAATGAAAGTTGACGAGCTCTCAGTGCGAGAAGCATTCTAAGAAAGAAGAAGCTCTTGAGAAGTTGAAAGGCGGTGCGAAGTTCGATGATGTCGCAAGGGAGTTTTCTGAGGACAAGGCGAGAGCTGGTATGTTTTGCGGTGCAACCTATCATTGGTGCAGATCTAGGGTGTACCTTGCTAACAAGATGCTCAGGTGGCGCTTTGGGTTGGAAGAAGAGAGGAGATCTTGATCTTGCATTCGAGGAGAAAGCATTCGAGCTTGAAGCCAGCACGACAGCAGCTCCGAAATATGCAGAGGTTAAAACTGGATTTGGATATCACATTCTAATGGTGGAAGGAAGAAAATAAGTCCATGCATAATTTGGAGTCCAGGAGTCCGGCGCGAAGCAATTCACATGTGCACAAATTCAATATCATGAAGGAACTCTTGGTATGAGAGGACTCAAATGCCCACATGCCGATTTATTCCCCGCCTATGATGCATCATATGAGTACAGCGAAGTCGAAATCCTCAGCAATTGACCGATCGTCTATCCACCGCAAGCAAACTCCATTGAGATAACCCCATTTTGTCTTTATTGCTCGGTCTGGAAGTAGTTGAGAAGGATCGATCGCTCTTGTGACTCCTCACCCCAGTCCTTGACGACAACGCATGAGCAGTTGACGACCTTGCGTGCGTTTCCTTCACGGTCGAGGACACCTGAGCATGAAGTCAGTAATGTTTGCGCAAATGCAGCACCATGTGGGCTACTTACACAAACCAGCCCACTCGCCCAATTGCTTTCCATCAGGCACCTTGATCAGGGGAATCTTGTGCTCTGAGCATAGCGCAACGACCAATTTCTTGTATGCCTCTTCTTCGCATGCTTCGTTGAGAACGCACATGTGTGCTTGTCGTCGATCGAGAGCCTTGGAAGCTTCACGTAGGCCGCGGGCGAGTCCATCGTGCATGAGAGCGAGCTTGAGGACACCCTTTAAGGCATCGAGAACTGACATTTGACCCTTAGAGGCGGCATCTCCAGAAATCTCGACCTCCTCGGCCTCACCGACCTCGACTTGTGGTTCTTCTTCTGCGTCAGACCGCGTGGGGATTAGCTAGGGGTATCATATGGCAAAATGTGAGCTCACCATCTTGTGTGGTTGATATCTTCAGGTCCTCGAAGAATTGTGTTGTATTAAGGATAATTCGCCTGGACTGACGATGTCTTGTGCGGTCTGCAGGGCTCTAAGCGAACGTGGAATTTTAGTGCTACGCCCTAAGTGGACTAGTTTTCCCACAACCGCGAATCTCCCCAAATCTAAAGGAAAATCATCGCGAACTTTTTCTAACGACTCGACCAACCTCATCTTCCTTCCCTCAACATCGCAAAAGCGCAACTCGAGGTATGTATCATTCCGACTGCCCCTTCGAAAGTCCTTCATGATAGGCAGAGGGACAAATCGGCATCTACTCGATTTGTGACGGACTTGAGCGCTGGAAGCAATTCGAGTCGCGATGTGCCGGAGCAATTGAAAGATGTCGATACTGCTCTCCTCTTTTCGACGAGCTGAAGACCCCTCTTGTCAATCATGAGGGCACTCTCCATGCTCAGAGCCCATGAAGGTTAATATACAGCTTCTGCAGATACCTCATATCCCATTACACGATTTGAGAATCTCAATCCGACAAGATGGTTAAGACCTCCGTCCTCAACGATGCGCTCAATGCCATCAACAACGCCGAGAAGTCCGGAAAGCGACAAGTCCTGATCCGACCATCCTCGAAGGTTATCGTCAAGTTCCTCAGCGTCATGCAAAAGCACGGTATGTAGGAAAGGAATAATTTTCTTCTAGCCATTCGGCATGATAACTAGATGACGGTCTCACAAACACAACGGCCATAGTCCTTTAAGTTGCCGATATATCATTTGCGAGGATCTTACACGTTCTCTGATTTCTCTCCTGACGTTACACGTTTAATCTTTCGCAACATACTGACTTTTTCTGAAGGCTACATTGGTGAATTCGAGGAGGTTGACGACCACCGATCAGGCAAGATCGTCATCCAATTGAACGGCCGGTAAGATATAAATATTCTCTTGAAAATTTTGCAGCTGCTAAGACATCATACAGCCTCAACAAGACCGGTGTCATCTCCCCAAGATACAACGTCCGCCTCACCGACCTCGAGAAGTGGGTTGTCAAGCTTCTGCCATCCCGTCAGTTCGGTTACATCGTTCTCACCACCTCTGCCGGTATTATGGACCACGAGGAGGCTAGACGCAAGCACGTTGCCGGAAAGATCATTGGTTTCTTCTACTAGAGAGCGAGCACAAGGGCGTCCGGAGTACCATGAGCATGTACCTATCTAGAGCAGCGCTTGGCATCGCCCAAGAATGCTGATGATACCCAAATTTCGGAACCTTGCTTCATGTAAAGATCCATCTTCTAGGAAGGAAAGGTAGCTCTGCATAAAAGTCAATCCAAAACTCATGAACTCCAATGAACCTGTCTTGTGATATATCACATTTGAAATTCTTCGGCGCCATTCCCTGCACACTTCATAAAGCTATCCTAATTTCTATCGATTCATTGTGGAGGCAATTACTCGTCTTCATTTATTTGCTGCATGTGGTCGACGCCCAATCGTGAGGCTGCATGCTTCAAACATATCCAACCGAAGGCAAGCGCCAGCCTGATTTACGTCTTTTACAACAACAGTCTTCTGTTTCTATCTTTCAAAACTACCAACCTTCATCAAGATTCAACCAATATGGAATTCATCAACTCCATCCTCGAATGTCTCGGAGCTTCATCGCACGAGGCTACTCTTCGTGTCACCTCAAACGCCCATACCAGGCTGGAGCAACCACCCTACAAAAATGACCCAGCGGAAGAAGAGCTTGCTGCTCGTATCCTCAACACCCTCTTCACCTCTGAGAAGTCCGGCGACGCCTTGGCATTCCAACTTCAGTCGCACTTCTCCACTTCTAGCTGGACCGAAAGTCTCGCTCGCCGCATCCTCGATGGCATCGTCGCAGCTCTAGCATCGGGCCAGGTCCTTGTTGGAGCCATGCAAGAGACGTACGACAAAGTTCAAGTTGTTGCTGAGGACTTCGTTAAGGAGCATCCTATCTTGACGGAGGTGATTCTCACCGTTATTGCTATTGGCATTCTTGCTTTGCTGGTTCCGTGGGCTGTGGAGGCTCTGGGCTTTGGAGAGTTGGGTCCTTCTGCAGGTGAGTCTTCAGTTATATACACTTGAAGGAGTGTACTAATGCTGCTGTTCACAGACTCATTTGCTGCTTGGTGGCAATCCACCTTTCCGGATGCTGAAGCGGGATCTCTCTTCTCCTATCTACAAAGACTAGGCATGAAGCGGGGAAAGGCTTAGTTGAGGATTCCTGACAATGGGTAGCACTACTAGTGAGTACAGGGGCATGAACATCTGAAGGCGAGGGTCTTGCTTAGATGGGTACGGACATGGTGCGGGAGAACGAGAGGTAGAAAGGAACTACGTGCACGGAGTACTCGATGACTTTTCTCTCTTCTAACTTCTTCTATGAGGTTTTACTTCAGCGTTCATATTGAAAGAATCAAATCTCATATCTCGAATGCTTTGTTCTTGTCTCCGAGAATGGGAAACCACAAAGTCAAGGGCTGGTAATCGCCATCGCCCTATATAAACCTCGCGGCCCATACTCTCTCAAGCTCATATTTACATTGCATTCCAAACCAAATTCCATCAAACAAACATCTCATAGCACCCAGCAAATTTCATCACTCAACATGTTCTTTCTAGCAATCTTCAAAGGTAAGTAAAGATCCACAACAAATCTTCTATCACAATGGCTTTCGAAAGCGACCGCTGACACAGTTCCTGTTGAAGCTATTTTCGTGTTCTGTTTTGGTGGAATTCTCTCCATGTTTGGACTGGGGGCCATGGTACCCGTTGTTGGTTAGTTTTTCATGCTTTCTTTACCTAATAATGCCAATACTGATGCCGGACAGGAGGTCTCGCGACTTGTTGGCCAGTATTGCGTTTCAACGGTATTCCGTCGTGGGAGTGTTCAGTCTTCTTGTTCCGGTGGTTGGTAGGGTGGTAAGGAAGTCATTCTTGAGCGGGGCGAAGGAGGTTCTGTCATTTTGACGAGAGGGCGGTTCCTTGAGGTCTCGGAGCTCATCGAATCTTGATCGAATCTTCTATTCTCCTTCCCAACTCATACCGAAAAATGAATTCCTTTCAAGTGCCAAGTCGCAGTTTCCCATGATGTCTCCAGCATTCACTTGAACCATTCCACTTCTACATTTTCAAAATGTTGTTTAAGAGTTAAGCGCAGGGTTTAAATATGGTTCGTTATTCAAATATTCTCGTCATTACTCTCTTCCATTATGTCTTTGATCCTTTCCTCGTGCCATGATATGCACAAACGCAACTTGGATGCCCAAGCGAGCTCGCGTCCGGGTCGACATCTTCTCCAACATTCTCTTTCAAGCTCATTTCCAGTAGCCCATCACTCTGACATCGCATCATCTGCCCGATCATGCCTACCACAATGTTTCGAATCCTGCAACAACACAATACACCAAAGCAACATGTTCTGGTCCGGTTCGGACGCCTAATTTGCAACTTGACTTCGTTTGTTAATCAACAGGACCATTTATCTTCAAGCTGGATTTTTAATTCCCCAATCAATGCTTTGCAACCACATCTAAGCAGTCCCAACACTCAAGGATCTCGCATACAACCTTATCGATACATCATCTGAGGTCTGAATCTCACAGTCTTGCCCGCTTGCCTCCAAACTGTTCGAATGTAAGCACCTCTTCCCTTTCCATGACTTATCTCGTTACCGTGCTAACGTAAATTTTTTAATGAAGTTTTCATCGGCTTGTTACTCTGGTGGCTCGGGTTCGGTATTTCCGCCCCTATTGCTGGTTAGTCCCTGCTTCTTACATCCTCCTCCCTCCTCTCTCCTTCTTAGAATGCTGTTCGACACTAACGTAGAATCAACAGGTATTTTCATCGCTTACTGCCAAGGCACCTTTCCATTCGTTCCTCCGGACTCCGTGATTGGTGCTGCCCAGCGACTGGGTATCGTTTTGGGTTGATACAGTTGGGTGCTAGACAACATTGGGAAGAATGGGTCAGATGGTTATGGTCACAAACTTTGCGACCTTCATGTCACTATCTATGTTTTGATGAAAGAGAGACTTTCCTGCGTTCTGCCTGTGGTTCCTAAATGCGCTTGCTATTTCATGGTTATGGGCTTCATTCCTGAGACTTGTATGTTTAATTCCTTGAGAACGGGAGAGCTGAAGCTAATTGTGGGCATTCTAGAGGAGTTGAATGAAACGGAGACTTCTCATTGGAAGAAATGTTTCAGTAATTGATGCGTGATGATGGCTTTGGAGGCTATATTCATAATTTGAAGATGATACTTCTTTTCAGAACCTTCACACTTCCAGCTACCTCAAGTCAATGACAACTCTACCACTGATCGTTCCTTCCTCCATCTCGTGGAAAATCTGTGCCTCGTCAGTAAAATTGAGTTAGGCAAGAGGCCCTTCACTTACCGCTGTCAACTCGTCCATTCCTCTGAGCTTATAATGCGTCTTCACTAAGCCTCTTGCTGCAATGTCCAAACACTCCTTCGCATCCTGCCTGTTTCCTGATTTGATTGCTACATTTCGTCAGCCAACTTCTCATCACCTACACTTTGTTCTTACCAAATATTGTCAACTCCGACATAATCATGGCATTCACTCTTGATGCAAGCGACGCTCCTAATCCTCCTGCTGGAGGCACCCCAAGACAGACTAGCGTCCCTCTAAACCCCAAGAAGTCCATGCTCTGCTCATATGCCCTATTGCCAGACACGCAACATAGCACTGTCTTCACACCACTCTTCGAAATCTTCCAAACTTCCTCCTTCAACTCTTCATCTGTTTCAAACTTCGTAAAGTCAACGAACGCGTCAGCTCCCAACTCCTCACAGAAAGACTTCTTGGATCCATGATCTAGAGCAATGACTTGTGCTCCAATGGCTTTGGCATATTGTATCGCCAAATGTCCCAGTCCGCCTCCAGCTCCAGAGACGAGAACCCAATCCCCGAATCGGGTTCCTGCGCGTTTTAGTGCTGTGTAAACAGTGATTCCGCCACACATTAGAGGACCAGCTCCAGCTAGATCAATTCCGTCTGGAATGGGAGTTAGATATGTCGCTGAGCTGACAACATATTGTTGAAAGGTTCCTGGTGTGTAGTAACCGCTGACTTTCACGGAAGGACAACTGGTCTCACCGCCGACAAGGCAGTTGTCTTCTGCTGTCAGCATGCATCAGTTCAGTAGATGTTAGAATGTATACCGCAGTTCAAACAAGCATCAGCTGCATATTTAACGCCTACTTTCGCACCGATAGCTGGAGTAGTGACGCCTGGGCCTTGCTCAACGACTTCTCCTACTCCCTCATGACCTCCAACTTGACCTTTTCTCTCGTCAGCCGGTATCCAGTCAACTCAAAAATCTACATACCTTTTGGAGCCGGATTGGGAAGTCCGAAGGAATTGGAACAAAACCCAAGATCGGTATGGCAAACGCCAGAATAAAATCTGTTATTGACCGGCAAAGCATCAGCATGTCGTGATCACGAAAGGGATACCCCACATCCTCGCTACCCCTGATCGACACCACTAACTACCCCACAATACTTGCACCTCCCGTCTTTCTAGCCTCCCGTACGGAATAGCTACCAACAGCCTCGGAAATGCCAAAGAAATGCTGGAAGACATACAATCTGACAAGAACTTGTCCTGGACCTGGCTTCTCAATTGGGAGCTCGACAATTTGTGTTGCGGAGGTGGGAGGATCGGAATAGATGATTGCTCGATTGACTGCGGCTTCTAGAGAACCCATCGTTTCTTGGCTGCAGGAAAGAGATATTTATATGAAGTAGATCTAGTAGGTATTGTAAAACGAGTAAAGCGGAAATGGACATCAAGGTTGTACATCAATCTTATAAAGAGGAGATGGATCGGATATGTGTGCGGTTGTCTCCTCACTTAGCCGAGAGTTACACGGCTTCGGGACCACGACGAATTGATTGCCCTAATCGTCTCTGGCTGATGTGCGGCAAAGCCCATCACTGCATCTGTGCTGACCTGCTCAATTTCTATGGTTGGGATTCAAGTGATCTTTGATGGGAGGGGAGGGCTAGTAATTGGCTCTCATAGCCGACGCCAAGCTTAAGATCTGGCGTCGATATATTTCATTTTGAGAGATGTGTATGCCTATGATTCAACAGAACAGAGAAGCCATACAGGGGGGAATAGCCACTTGAAGAAGAGAGCAAAAGGGAAAAAAAAGTCTTCTGAGCATCTTCAAGTAGAAGTTGAATCTCAACATTAAGCTCATGTGTGTACATATATCTCTCAAGCCAAGCCAGCTCATTCACTTACGCACTCATTTCATTATAGGGGAGGAATTGGTACTTACATATCGCTTCGAAATGCGTGTCGAACTCAACCAATACTCAACTCTCCGAGCTGAGCACCGGCGCCACTACTCACGTCACCCCTTGGGTAACTGTGGTACTGTGGACTTTTCCAACATTCAACTCTCCCGAGTTGAACATTGGCACTGCTTGCTGCCATCAGGCATGCAAGCAATGTCCCTGAGCTCTGCTCAGACTGTGACTTTGTTAGCGAGGTAACTTGAGAAATTTTTGGTAGTAGAAATGAAATTGAAGTGGTTAGTAAATGAATGGCTTGGCTGAGAGATTGTTATATACGAAAATGATTATTGAAGTTGATATTGATATACCGGTCTTGAGTGGGCAGGCACAGGATACGTCGGTGGGCGTGAATTAATTATGTACAAGGCTGAACTCGACTGCCGTCCGCCACAAGGCAATCTTCATCACCTTCACGTAGAAACTTCTCTGGCTGCAACTGGATGATCTGACGCAGCAATGTTGCACTGATGCATAATCCTTGGACCATACGATTCCGGAAACTCAGTCTAGCTTTGATGTCAGCTTCACATTAAGGGTTTTCGTGATTTTACTTACGATACTGTGCCAAAGAGCACGGTTGTACCACAAGATGACATCTTGCTCCTCATGCCTGTGAGCATAGATGTTCGATGGATCAAGGACTGGACGCATCATCCTACTTTGTCAATATCTGAGAAACAAGAGGATATTGGCTACTTACTTGTGCATGAAAGCTCTGACTTCTCCCAGATCATCAATAATAGTCTCTTCGCCATCTGGGCTACTCTTCAAGAACAGCTTAAAAGCGCCTTGGCCATGAATCTGGAGACTGTCTTCTCCAGTCACAGGGTTCTTCCACACCATAGGGTAGGTGCAGATCTTGTCTTTTGACCATGGCTTCAGCTTATCCAACGGCTTCTCTAGTCCCTCCGTCTCAAGCGTGTGACCTAGGCGAGTGCTGTGCGCTGTCGACATCCACTCGAAGCAGTGAGGTGCATATTCGATGCTGCTATTGTATGCAATGTCTCTTTGCTCTGGGGTAAGAAGTGCCAGTGCACGAGATCCAGCGACCATGGCAGTTGCTCCTGGGGCAATTGTCATTTCGGTACCTGTTCCATCATCCCACTGAACTCTCACATCTGGTCCTTTTGGCGTTCGTACAGCAAGCAAGCATCCTACTCGAGGCGGAGGGATGTTGTACAGAGAACCATCAAAGTGCCATTGATAAAAACGAGACTTTCCTGCCTCCCGTTCTTCGGCTGGGATATGAGGAGGGAGATGGAAGTAGTGATGATTAATCCCTTTGACTTTAAATCCAGGTGGAAATTGGTAGTGGTCATCTGGGACGGCGCCACGACCGAGGATATGGACTTGAGGTTGTACCGGAATTGCTGGGCGATTCGGTAATCCGTAGATGTCCACACCGTTGTGAGAAGTGAGATATGGATCAACACCATGAGCAAATCCGCCGGTTGTCTCATCTGGATCAAATCTTCTGGTCAGGTCATACTGCTTTTGAGGATGAAGCATCGCAGGCTGCTCCTTGAATACGAGTAATTTGTGCTTGTGAAGAGCTTCATGGATCACTTGGAAATCAGAATCGGTGAGGTTGTTGAGGTCGACGCCGTGCACTGTTGCTACAAAGTCGACATTGCTTTTGAGCCCATGATCCATAGGAGTCACCTTGATATCCTTAACGACTGAAGGCATAGCTGCGATCTGATTCGTGGCTGAAGTCTCTACTTGCTGATAAGTGCTCTTCAAGTTCTAGTAAGTAGAGTACTCCACCACGGGACTCGGTGACAATATAAACTGTCAGTGTCAGTCAGGGAAGTGGAAAGTAGCTGAAGAGTAAAATCCAGCATTCAATATCAGACTTCAGTCTTCTCCAGTTTATTTCGGCCGAGCCCCGTAAGCTGGCGCACCTCAATCAAAATATGCACGTCTGTCAAGACCCCACTCTTGCTTCAGATAAGGCGGAGGAAAGTTGGGATCTCGGAACCGGCCTCAAGACGAACTCGGCCGAATATGAGAATTAGTTTTCCTAGACCACTTGAACAAAGATAAATGATTCCACGCAAGTAGATGATATAAAGTGCTGCTGCTAAGTTTCTTCGCAATCACGTGCAAATCCCTCTCGACCATCATTTCGACACCATGTCAGTAGACGCTAGAGTCTATTATCATACGACAGCCAATGGCTCACACATCTTTATTGAGGAGTGCGGTAATGGGCCACTCATGGTCTTGATGCATGGTCTTGGAGGAACGACAAACGCATTTCAGCCGCTTGTCAACCATTTCGCTTCACGCTTCACCATGTTACGCTTCGACTTGCCTGGCTCCGGATTCAGTACGTTCAAAACACCTCCATCTATTCCGCGATTCGTTGAAGACTTAAAGTCTATCCTTAAGTCAAGGGGTACTGACGAAGAGCCAATTCTGATCGGACATTCTCTTGGAAGCATCCTTGCCATGCACTACGCAACACAATATCCTGTAAAAGGACTTATCCTGATCGGCGCCGGAAGATCTGCTGTGCACATCCCCGCTGCAGTAGCTCATATGACCGGTCTTGCTGTCAAAGCACGAGAAGGAATTCCGGGAATCAGAGATTCGACGGTCGCCAACAATGTAGCACCTAGCTCTTCGGATCTTGTCAGAACGGTGGTTCGACAGATGATTAGTTCGCAAGACCCCCTTGGCTATGCCGCGACATGCGAAGCGCTCTGTGCAAAGTCCCATGTTGATCCGGATTATTCGAAGATAAAGTGTCCAACCATGCTCATTGCTGGTGATCAGGACAAGATCTCGCCGCTTTCAAGATCAGAGGATCTGCAAAAACTGATTGGTGGAGAGGACAACAAGGTTGCGTTAAAGGTTGTTCACTCTGGACACCAACATGTCCTCGAGAATACAGAAGGAGTTGTGGAGGCGATTGAGTCTCTGGCGGGGTCGTTAAGTAGATAATTGAACGATTTTGAACAGTTCGATTTGGCTAACTGTTGTATCCGCTTTCGAGTATCCAGTGACTGTAAATTGCGTTCAGATTGAATTTGATGGAGCCAAACCCATAAGGTCGTCAAACCAGTTCAAGCTTCGGAAGTCGAAAGAATCCGACAAATGCTGGAAGAAGGGGGCGCTTGCAGGATCTTGACGACGAGTGGTAGACTCGAGCACGTCAAAAGATTGCTGTGGTGGCCTACTTTGAGAAGTTGTGTACGGACCGATGTCACTGAAAGACGGAAACATATCTCCATTCATTGTACGACTTCTTGACTGTGGATAAGATTGACTCGAACTGTCCTGTTGAAGCCACAGAGGCATGTGGGATGTCGCAATGGGTGAACCGCTAGAGGTAGGAGCATCACTTTCACAGAACTTTTTGACGAAAGCAGCGACATTCAGGCTCTTCTTAGAACTTTTAGCAGCCTTGTCAACAGTAGACTGCTGCTCGATGCGCTCGGCGTGTGATGAGGCATTGTTGGAGCTTTGCGTGTGCTTTTCTTGCTCGGCTAGCAAGTCAGACAATAAGCGAGTTCCTCGGGCAGCAATGGAGCTGATGGACACACTCTGAGAGAGAATAGCAATAGCATCATTAACAAGCCGTCGGTGTTCTTCGTACTCACGCGCCGACTGGTGACGATTGAAATTGTCCAAGCATAGGATGATGCCTGCTGCGACTGAAAAGGCCTGTGTAGTCCACAAAATAGGACTTTCATCCTGAACGTCCTGCTTCATCTCGTTCATTATCGTCTTAGCTGCAGCTAGACATGTCCGGCGAGTGAAGGAATATCGATGATCACGAAAGCTCATGCCCAAGAACCTGCGATGAATCATGATGATTTTGTGCGCCGACGTAATGGTAAGACATCGACGGGCAACGCCAACCCATGAAGGCCATAGAGGATCTATTTGAGTCTGACTGTTCAGACAAGCTGGCAGCTGTGTCATCACAAGTTCCCTCATCATTTTGTCGAAGATCAAGACTTGCTCGTACTTTGCTTCAAGTGTGTTAGCTTGAGAGGAACGGTCTTGTAAAGCTGGCATGAGTGAAGCAACGCGGAACAAAAAGTTTCCATAGGTTGTCATAGATGGCTGGGACGTGGGTAGACTTTGCATAGTCTCCTCATCGCAATGTTTGGGTGGTCTGGTGGAGAACTGTAGAGGATTGATGATATAAGTCTCCGAGAAGGGCACGGAGAACCAGTCTTGGGCAGCCAGTTGCTGCCAGAGTCTTCGACCTAGCTCTTTATATACTATATCTGAAGTCGTTCGTTCTGTGCTGCTTGCCTCCTGGACGATGAAAGTCTATGAAGTCCCAATGATTGGGCAATTCGGACTGCAGATGCAAGAAGAACAGACTGTGAGTTTGAAAAGCCAAGAACATGGGCGGATATCGTAGAACTGGCAATTGTTTGGACGCTATACATGTTGTGATACTGCTGGTATCGAGCAGCATTGAGACATTCGATCGAGGCTTGGTACCAACGTCTTGCTAAGGCACTTTGCTCCTCTTCATGGAAGCCCCAGTTTCTCACGAAGTGCGGCTTGACACAAGCCATACTACCACACATAATCGCGAAGAGCAGTGCCGTCCATTGAAGCCCAGAACTTGTCATATTGATGACTCCCTGGTCATCATCGTAGAATTGATCGAGCTCTTTCCTCAAAGTCGGAACGTGGAAAACGCAATGCATGAACAGGAGCCAATCCGTATGGTATTCGAAAAGTAAAAATACTTGCATCTTAGTAGGGAGAAGCTCTTGGATCTGCGAAATGTGCAGGTTTTCCATAGCCACGCTCCCTCCAGGGATTGAAGACGGAGAGGTTCCCCATGCTTGAACTCCTTGAATGACATCCGCATCAGTGCGTATTGCTGATGATTCGTGGATGTTTGGAGGTTCGCGAATACCACTAGTCAAATTGCTGTCTTTCAAGCGTCCCCAGGCAAGAAACTCGAGGACTGTGGCAGCATCTTCTACTTCGGCATCCGAAGCATTCTGTCCGGAGCCTGAATCATCCTCTTCGGCTCGAACATTCTCATGCAAGGCAGATGGTGTCTGAATGGTCTCTGCAAGATGGAGTCTTGCTCGTTTGGCTACATGCTGGTCCATCAGAGCAATTAATTGTTCCGAATCAGATGGCCCCCATGCTTGGGTTGCTTGAGTTGCTTGAGTTCCATCGATCTTCGCTTCAAGCCTCTGGACTCTGCCAGAGAGTGCGGTGACCAAGCTTACGAGCCTCTCGTTAATAGTAGGCTCCACAGTTGACCCTCTTGGTGCGGGACTAGATGAGAAACCAGGTGAAGTAGACTTCCGGGTACGTTTGTTGATTGTATCGGTCACATCAGCTCGCCGACATGTGTGAGCAGTGCCCCTACAGACCATGTCAATATTGCAAGAACACCTGAAATCATGACAAGCTCTGACCTCTTCTCACAAACATCACAAGGAATGACCTTATTGCATCGTATCTTCCTTTTCGCGCAATCGACACATGTCTGTGGGCGCCGAGACATCGTGTTACTGCTTGACGATGTAGGGACGACTCGGCCGGGAGTTTCAGAATTGTAACTCATATCATCTCTTTATGCTTTTCAATGCATCGATGCTGATTGACTGTTAATCGTCCTTGTGACTGTGTCGTTGCCTTCAGCCATTCCCCACGTCCGGGCCCGACCTTAAAGTGAAAAGTTGGTTTTATGTTCGGCTCGGTTGTAAAACTGCGAAAATATGAAACTAAGCCATATAAAGTATAAACTTGCTCTATTTGTAGCAATCAAAGGCTGTTCGATTGCTTTGATTTTGTGCGTAATGCTGCCTTATCGAGATATACCGAGGTAGTATTTTATCTCGGATGTGTTCGGCCGAATTAAAACGTCGAAATCATGATTGTCATTTCCTACATTAAACCGCAGGGTATGCTCAGAGTGAAGTAGTACGAAAGGAAGGATCTCTTCTTTCTATACAGGAACATCTAAAATGTACTAATATCAAACAAACCTCCCATTTTTGGTATCAACCTCCCAAACGCCACGGCCACCAAGACCATTTTAATCCCAAGTCTGCAGATTCTTCAATATACACCCCTCGGCTGAACGTGGAACTAGCTTGCCAATAGTGTACACCTTCTCGCCCGCAGCCTCAAGTTCCGAAACCACTTGTTGAGCATTGTCTTTACTAACAACAGCAACCATACCGACGCCGTTGTTGAAAGTTTTTGCCATTTCCACCCCGGAGACATTGCCATTTTCCTTCAAGTACTTGAAAACAGGAGGTACTTGCCAAGTCGAAACATCAATCTCGGCAGCAAGGTGCTCAGGTAATGCTCGAGGAATGTTCTCAGTCAAGCCACCCCCAGTAATATGTGCAAGCCCCAAGATCAGACGCTTCTTGATGAGAGGAAGAACAGCGGCCACGTAGATCCTCGTTGGTGTCAGAAGACTCAAACCAGTGGATGTCTCTTTATTCCAGGGAGCCGGATCATGGTACGAGATTCTGGCACGCTCGATAATCCGACGTACGAGTGAGAATCCATTTGAGTGGACACCATCGGAAGCGAGACCTAGAATAATGTCTTCCTCGACCATGGAGTCCTTTTTCGGGAGGCGATTTTCCTTCAGCATAATTCCGACGGAGCAACCAGCAGCATCGTAGTCTTCTTGCTGGTACATGCCCGGCATTTCTGCGGTTTCACCTCCTACTAAAGCGCCATGGGACAGTCTGCATCCTGCTGCCACGCCTTTGACGAAAGCTACAGCGTTGGCAGTGTTAAGCTTACTGCAACCGTAATAGTCGAGGAACATGAGAGGCTCTGCTCCGTTTGCGAGCAGGTCATTAACGTTCATGGCAACCAAGTCGATGCCCACGGTATCATGCTTGGTCATTGTTTGAGCAATCATGAGCTTGGTGCCTACACCATCGATAGCACCGACCTATGCTGTCAGTTTACAGATCTTGAAGTGGCAGAATTTACTTACCAAGATACCACCATTTGAATAACCAGCCTCTGCCAGGTCAAGTTCACCGCCAAATCCACCAATAATGGCAAGTGCGCCAGGCCGCCGAGTAGATGCAACTTCCTACAGATAGATTAGTCTAGTGTTTTAGATCTCATTGAGTACCATGCAAACCCTTTTGATTTCCTCTACGAAGTTGTTACCATCCTCGATGCTTACACCGGCAGCAGCATAGGTAAGTGCTTCCCGCGTGGCAGCGGGAGGCTTGAAGGCCCGATGTGCAATATCCTTACGGAAGAACATATCAGTGAATTTGATACATTCCACACCTATAAATGTTAGTCAATCCAATCAACATTGTCACATGGGTAAAAAATAGAGCTATTTAACTCGGACATCAAAGACACAGAGCACCACATAGCGCAGACATTTCGCTTACCAGTATAGGCTTTCTTGACTGCATTTTCAAGATTCTCAGCTGTAGCCTGTGAGGCAATAACACGACCTCCAGACGTCTGTAACTGTCCCTCCACGATGGACGTTCCCGCATGAAATATGTTGGTGTCAGTTGGAGGGGTAGTAACAGACATTGGTATCCCCTTGGTATATTTTCCAGGATAGCCACCAGCGGCAACTACAACTGTTGCACTTGATTTGGCATCCACTTTGAATGTAACCGACGGAGAGTCCAGATAGGAATCAGTACAAGCAATCATGATCTTTGCCAGGTCACTGTCCTCGCTCATGAGTGGCAAGAGAGTTTGAGTCTCTGGGTCTCCAAACCGGACATTGTATTCGAGGACTTTTGGACCATTTTTAGTGATCATAAGCCCGGTGAAGAGGGTACCAACGAAACGCATTTGATCATGTCTCATGCCATCGATAGTAGGCTGCAGAATTGTCTTCTCGACCTCGTTAATTAATTCCTTCGAAGCGATATTGGTAGGCGCGTAGCATCCCATACCACCAGTGTTGGGACCTTGATCGCCATCGAATATTCTCTTGTGATCCTGGGCAGGGGGCAATGAACGAATTGTATATCCATCACTAAAACTGAGGATGCTGAGTTCATCGCCTTCCAAGAACTCTTCAATGACGACCTCGTCTCCAGCAGAACCAAACTCCCGGTCAAGCATGATATCCTTCAATGCAGCATGTGCATCTTCCTTCGTAGAAGGAATAATGACACCCTTTCCAGCTGCCAAGCCACTCGCCTTGATAACAACATTGTGATTGATTGTATAGAGGTATTTCTTCGCATCGTCGTAGCTGGAAAAGTTTTCGTATGCCGCAGTTGGGATATTGTACTTTTTCATAAAATCCTTGGAGAATGTCTTGCTTCCTTCCATGCGAGCAGCGAGTTTCGAAGGCCCATAGCAGCGAATGCCAACTGCCTTGAAATATCCTTCAATTCCATCAACTAGAGGGACTTCGGGTCCAGGAACGACAAGATTGATCTTGTGCTTCTGTGCCAATGCTACAAGACCGGGGTAATCGTCCTGTTTGAGTCCAGTAGTATCGTTCGTAGTCTTTGGGCAAGTTGCAGTTCCGCCATTACCTGGGACCTTGGGAATAAGTCAGATTGTTCAGAATCCGCAAGATTGACTGCCCCATGCATCTGAGTGAGACACATCCCCTGCGAATTCGAGTCCTGTCTCGTGCAGGACATTCAAAAACTATAACTTACAGCAATAATGCTCTCAACCAATGGACTCTGGCTCAACTTCCAAGCCAGTGTATGCTCCCGCCCTCCATTGCCGACGAGTAGAATGCGAATGGATTCCATTGTTCGATAATTTTTTCTTTTGAATGTCCTCGAGGACAATTCGCCAAGGACAGGAAAAAATTGTTCAGCCCTGATAAAGTTTTTGGCGGGGTTCAAATCTAGTGGAGGGGTTAACCCGCTATCGGCACGCTAAAGACAAGGCTGAAAATTATCTCTAGAAGGACTCTCTTCCTCTTTGACTTTTTTATATTCATTTATCCCAGATAGATCGAGATACTTAGCCTTGAAGATGACTATCACGATAAGTACACATTCTTTCAATTTGGACTTGAGGCTAAATAGCTAATCCCTTACAACAGAAGTACCCTGTTCCTCGGCGAACATAGGACCTGGATTCGATGTCATAGGACTTGCCCTCTCAATATGGCTTGAAATACGTGTGGAAATTACCCAATCGGAGAAGTCTGAAGCAGCCTTGAATTGCGTGATCACGTATGAGGGCGAGGGCGCAGACGAGGTCCCCTTGAGTGCCGACAATAATCTGATCACGAGGACAGCATTATATGTGTTGAGGTGCCATGGCCAAAGGAGTTTCCCTGTCGAGACGAGAGTTCATATCAAAAACCCTATTCCGCTTGGAAGAGGACTGGGAAGCTCAGGTGCGGCGGTCGTAGCGGGAGTTGTACTTGGGAATGAGGTTGGGAAGTTGAATTTGACAAAGGCAAGAATGTTGGACTATTGCTTGATGATTGGTGTGTTATTATGATCTATGAGAAACGAATACTTATTGACGAATAATAGAACGCCATCCAGACAATGTTGCAGCGGCTCTGTACGGTGGCTTCGTGGGAACATATCTCAACGATTTGAGCCCAGAAGATACAGAGAGAAAAGAGATTCCTTTAAGTGAAGTCCTCCCAGAGCCCGCAGGTGGTGTAGACACCGGAAAAGCACCACCGGAACCTCCTATTGGTATTGGTCATTACATGAAATTTCCTTGGGCAAAGGAAATCAAAGCCATTGCCATTATCCCCGACTTCGAGGTCGCCACAGCAAAGGCCAGAAGTGTATTGCCAACTTCGTACACAAGAGCAGATGTCGTCTTCAATCTCCAGAGAATAGCCTTACTTCCCTCTGCCCTAGGAAGATCACCTCCAGATGCCGACCAAATATACCTTGCCATGCAAGATAAAGTCCATCAACCATATCGAAAAGGCCTCATCCCAGGTTTGCCCGAGATTCTGCAATCAGTAACACCTAAGTCTCACCCCGGTCTCTGTGGAATTTGTCTTTCTGGGGCTGGTCCAACTATCTTGGCATTGGCTACCGAGAATTTTGATGGAATTGCCAATGTCATTCTTGAAATGTTTGCGAAGAAGGATATCAAATGCAGGTGGGAATTGCTGGAGCCAGCAGAGGAAGGCACAGTAGTCACGCATAGCTGAGAGATGAAGGATGCAAGTTAAAGGACGTTTATACCCGCAAAAATGCAGACTCGATATATGGAGTCAGGAAATTGCACATGGCACCGAGCTATTCTGAGCTGTGCAATAGCATGAAAGCTGCCCCATCCCAAGTCCATCCCACTTCCATGCAGCAATAAGAAACCCAGTCCAGAAACGCCGTAGTATAACAATCAATCATACAAGCCAATTGCGACCATAATAGCTTAACCCAGACCTCCCCAAGCACCTCTAATTCTTCGCGCCAATTGTATATCCTTCTGCATGATAGTGACCCTCTTCGCATGCAAAGCGCATAGATTCGTATCCTCGAAGAGATGAACTAAGAATGCTTCGGATGCTTCTTGAAGAGCTTGAATGGCTTGTGATTGCCAACGCATTCCTGCTCCGGCGGGGCGTAATGTGAGAGCGATTTCTCGGACCTAAACAAATCAGCTTTGCGACCCAGTTTCATATGATCTGGACTTACGAGTCGGGAGAAGGGAAGTTTGAGCAGCAATAGATCTGTTGAGCGCTGCAACTTTCTGATCTCTTGCAATGCTCTCGTACCAGGCTTATAGCGACGCTTTCTTCGTCCAGGAACTGGATCTCCAGCTGGCATAAAGTCAGCATTCCGTTCCAGCGCATTCTATTCTCTCACTTACGTTCAACGGCACTCAATCTCTTTCCAGATTTCTTGGCACCCATGCTTGGTGTAGTCTTGCCGGACGGTCTTCCTCTCTTTGGAGTGGAAGAGGACTCGCCCAAGGCCTTCATCCGCTTCTGAGCTTGCGACATCTCCGGAACAAGCGAGTAGTCGCGTCTTTATGCTACGATGATGTGCCAATAATGTCGAATTTTGCGTGCTCGAAGAATGCGACTGAGATATGGTCCAATTGACCTCGAAATTTGGTGGCTGGGAAGGATATAATTTGCGCGCGTCGACGTGAGGAGGGTCGTGTTGACAGTGCGCCACCGACAGTAATCTCAATATTGACTTTCAAAACTTTCTCAGGTCGGTTTCTGTATTCTCTTGCCTTCATTCGGTGAATAAAAGGTAAAGATTTGAGTTTCAATATTCAATGCTAAGTATTTAAAGAACGCGGTGCGGTAGAGTAAACAAACCTGGAAGTTGCGGCCGAGCAACGGCAACGCTAACATAATTCAAAGTGCAGAAACCCCCTCCAAGAATAAGAAGTATCGAATAGTCCAGAAGAATTCGGCTTCTCACAAGAGCGTCACGTATAGATTAGCTGCCACATTTTATTATTCAAAGCTTTCTTTAATTTGATCTCCAACTTGGAAGCTCTGCTTGTTGCACTTGCGTCTCTTTCGTACGGTGTACCCTTGTCGCTTAGTTATCCGTAATCCGATTAAACGCCACCTCAGCTTGATAACAAGTGGTCATTCCATAAAGAGACGTCACGGATTCACTTTCTTTCTTCAATGAGTATTTCTTCAGCTTGAGCTCGTTCGACAGCTTTGCGCCCTCCGCCATTCAGGATTGCAGCTTCGCAGATCGTCTGCTGCTATCGAATTCAGGAGGCTTATTCAATCGACCCCTCTCAGGAACAATATGGATCAGATGATGGGTGGAGGTGATGGAGGAATAGGTGGACAGGCTGGATTTCCGCTGGAGACCTGGTGGTGGGAGAGTAAGATTTCTCTTCTGCTACAGCAGCTGCCCAGATTCTCCTTGTGGAATTGCAGCTCACACGACCTTCTCTACTTGCTCTTCAAACTAACGATAATACAGTGCCATTATGTACTAGATGGTGGACCACAGCTACTGTTCTAACAAGCGCTTTGGTGCAATGCCAAATCGTCACTCCGTTCCAGCTCTTTTACAGCTTCCGCGCTGTTTTTGGAAAGTCTCAGGTACGAACCAACATTCTAGTCCTCGAAGGGATTCCCGAAGGGGCAAAACTAACATCTATCACAGTATTGGCGATTACTTACGACCTTCCTCTACTTCGGTCCTCTATCTCTTGATCTCGTCTTCCACGTTTTCTTTCTCACTCGATACTCTCGATTACTTGAAGAGTCCTCCGGTCGATCACCGGCGCATTTTTCTTGGCTCCTGCTCTACGCAACGACATGCTTGATATGCTTGTCTCCGTTGGTGTCTATGCCATTCTTGGGTCATCCTTTATCTTCAACACTGGTTTACATATGGTCGAGACGAAATCCGGACACACAATTGAGTTTCCTCGGCCTGCTAGTTTTCACAGCGCCCTGGCTGCCGTGGGTTCTGATGCTCTTCAGCTTGGTGGTTCATGGCATGATTCCGAAAGATGAGATTATGGGAGTAGTGATTGGCCACGTCTGGTATTTCTTTTCAGACGTCTGGCCACCACTTCACAGTGGTCAGAAACCCCTTGATCCACCTATGTGGTGGAGGAGACTGTTTGAAGGCAGACCAAGAGAAGAGACCGTGGATGAAGTCAACAACGAGATTGCGGTTGCGGCCGCTCCGGAAGTAAGATAGGTGTGCATTGGTTTTGGGAAGCATACAAGGGTACGGCGTACATGAGCATGAGACGCGGAGTCTTGAATAAAGATGCGAGATGGCTTTTATGGTTGAGGCGTTTACAGTGTGTACTTTGATACCAAATTCATTTCTTCGACAGGGACTTGCTCTTACCATCGACAGAATATCCTGAACTTGATGGAAGCTGCCGTAGTACTTGGAAGTCCTTGGATCATAGAGACGTTCCATTGCTTTTCATAGAGTCTATGCCGAGGCCGAATTATGGGCAAAGGGAGAAGATTGTCTACGGAAATTTTCCGATATGGGCACAACCCCACCGAAGCAAGTCTTCCAAGCTATTGTAAATGTTAGTTTCCAGGTTGGTCAAGGAAATAGTCTCAGAGGTCGCATGGGGAGCAATTATCAGATGAACTTAAATTTTGTGCTATGACCCTACGTCCATTCGCCCTTCCTCGCCATCTTCCTCTTTGCTATCCTCAAGCTGGGCATCCGGTGCCACAGGGAAATGCAAATGCTTCCAGTCCTCCAACTCCTCAATAATACTCCGTAACCTATCCCTGATGCTCTCGATGGCATAACTCCCTAACAATAATCTCAAGGGCGGGTACGAACAATGGCCCAACTGCCAGACCAGCTCCGCACACTTTACAGCACTCGTAGGCTGTTTGTCTCCTAGCCACTGCACCATCCTCTTTGCATGCAATGCCGGCGACGTAGCCTGACTATACGGCTCACTCGCCGGCTTAATCAAAAAATGCCCCCAAGTAGGCAAAGGATTACTCTCCCAGTCCGGCTCGTCCCTCCTCACCAGTCCAGGCTCAACCAAAGTGGCCTTGATATTAAAACTGTCAATCTCATAAAGCATCGCTTCGATCAATCCTTCCACGGCATATTTCGTTGCACAATATGGTCCCAATCCAGGAACACCTAACGCACCACTCGTACTGCTGAAGATCAAATACCTCCCCGCGCCTTGCTCCCTAAAATACGGCAAGCTCAATTGAATAATATTCAACGTCCCCATAAAGTTCGTCTCGAACTGATTCCGGACCTCATGTTCGTCCTGATCTTCACAAGCTCCAATAACTCCATATCCAGAGCAATTCACTATGATATCAACATGTCCGAAGTGCGAGATTGCTATTTCGATAACTTCAGCCACGGATTCACGCGCTCGTACGTCGCAGAGGGTACCGAGGCAGTTCTCGTGCCAGCCTTGCATGGAAGGGAGTGTGTTTTCGAAGGTTCGGCCAACAGCACAAACGAGGTCGCCTTGGTTAAGACAGGAACGGACAAGGGAACGGCCCATATGTCCTGTGCTGCCAAACACCTGCAAACATATCAGCTCCCGTCTCTTTCGGCAACAAGCGGAAACATCTCATGCATAAAGCTTATACGTACAATCCAAACCAGCTGCTTCACGGGATTGCCAGGCCCAGGCGGATCGCAGCTCACGGGCAACTGCAGCTTGGATCTCGCATTGCTGGTGCTGCCACTTTCGGGCGACATGGCGGATGCCGATAGACTGTCGCCATTTTGATCTGAGGAGAGGTTGAGTGCGGCGTCCTGGAAATCCATCTTCGTATGTGTTCCGTTCCACAGGTCGAGATCATTGGCTACATGCTGCGTGAGGCGGAAGGAAGAGATGGTGATTTGCTGAGGGGTTGACTAGCGTGGTGTGGGTTGGACGGTGGACTGCCAGGGGTGAGAGAAGCGAATGTTGGAGAGACGACATTGAAACCTTTGGACTCAAAAGAACTGATATTGAATGTACAAGCCATGATTCTCCTTCTGGCTACAGGTCAAAATGCTTGTAGACTTCTATATTGCTTCAGATACTACGGATCAAACGATTTAATTTTACTATTCAGAGAACTCTAAATAAGTTTGGGCCTCACTTTCTTTTCTCCTTACCTTACAATCCCATCTTACTACTGTAAGTTCATTAGAAAACTTTCCTCAGGGGAGGCTCCCCAAATTTGCACAAAAGACTTTTTACCACATCGAAGTCCGTCTCATACATGCCTAGGTAGGTATGATCAAGTAATAGTCATCACAACCACAGACTAGATGTTTTGAATGAGCATGTATGACACATTATGCTAAGAAAGGCAGAGTCCTAGGCTTATGTGAAGGATGTCATGTCGAAAGGTATCGGGGATCAATGACGAAACGTGATCTCTCGAAGGAAGACTAGCGGCCTTGGTGCGCTCCAGAGCCCCGAAGTCTTGAATGTCTTCAACGCTTCGAAAGGCTGAAGATTTCCATCCCCAGAGTTTCTGAATCGGAAAAATGGCGACGCCTCAAACCTCGGAATGCAAAGGATCATCTGAAGATCTCTCTGAGACGCCTGCTTCGAAAGGAAGATGGAAGTCAAAGGGACCAAATTTCTCGTATCGTATTCATCTTCATCGCGCTCGTGCCTCGTTCTGACCTTTCCCAGGGATCCAGCCGCGATGGTGACCTTTATCGTTGCAAGCCAGGAATTGAGGAATCGTTCGTTGTTCATAAAGGTTTGTTACCAATCCTTCAAGGCTCTCTGTCGAAGGGACTGACACGCTTTCTGTAGAATTCGCTTGCCACCATTCTCCTGTGTTGAGGGCAGCCTTCAACAGCTCGTTCGTGGAGGGCACGACGCAAACCTATCGTCTAGAGGAAATCCAGAGCAGCGCATTCCGTCTCTTGGTCCAAATGGTTTTATGGCGAAAAGTTCGAGGTCTTCTATGAAGCAGACATCATCCATGACAGGAAAAATCCAAGCAGCAAAGAAGAGACCGACGACGATGAAACCGCAAAATTGCTCGCCGCACAAGATCTTGACCTTGTTCAGCTTTGGGTTGTAGCTGACAAGCTTCTTGTTCCTCGTCTGCAGAATGTGGTGATTCGGAGTTTGCAAGATATCTGGGGCAGTATTTCTATAGGCCCAAGTAGTGACTGGATTCCTTACGTTTACGAACACACTGGACCTGATAGTCCTTTAAGGCATCTTGTTGTCGATACGTGTGCATATGACCTCCACCCCAAAAGGTTTCTGAACCACCCAGAAAGCTTTTCCCATGAAATGCTGCTTGATCTGGCTACTGTTTTCGCTGCAGCAGTCTCTGAAGTAGACAGCGAAAAAGGAAAGAGTAAAGAGGGAGGCGACAACAGCGACAAGATTCCCAACGAGGAGAGATCAAGCAAGAGGCCGAAATACGCTTGTAACAGAGCTTGGAGGTCGTACTTGGTCCCAGAAGATGATTGAGACGTCGGCTATGCACGGGCTATCCGGTAGAGGTTGATGGCCATGGCTCGATACGCAGTTTCCCAAACAAATAATCATAAACTCTTCATAGCATTCTCTCTCAGATATCTGAGCCATTGCATCTTTGCATCATGCATAATGAAATGAGATTATGAACCTGGGAGTGACCACAAGCGGCAATTGCGAATGGGTAGAATAAGAGTGAGTGGCAAGTGACTGATCGCAACTTCCTCGATATGCATAATAATAATTTCAATTCTTTTCAGAACGAGTGTTCCTCAGCTCTACAGTCAGTAACTACATCATGTTTCTACAACAGCAGTTGGAGATCATTATGAGGTCCTTTAGAATCGATCCCGTTACCCCCACCATTCCGAAAACACTTTCCAACCCAGCTACCGCTCAGAGTACAGAGACCACAAGGACAGCAGATGAGCCCAACCGGGAGTGGAAGAGGTCTAAGCCTGACTTTTCGTATGCAAACTCATCTACTACTATAAGGGCGACCTGATCCATTTCAGGAATCCCACTGACACAGTCACCTTTTACATTGGCAGAGAGGCTGAACCATATATCGTACACAGTGGTATGATCAACATCTGCCAGGCTAGGAGAAAACAAGAATTGATCTTGTCGTAGATTCCGCATGTTATTATTCACTAGTCCTGAGGGCCGCCTTTAATAGCAACTTCATCGAAGGGGAGGGCACACGAAGACTTATCACCTGGATGACACTGATGTTGAACCATTCCGAATCCTTGTTCAATGGCTCTATTCGCAGGATATTGATATCCCAGTTGAAAGTACCGATATATTCGATCGGTTAATGGCAAGGGAGATGAAACGTCCAAGGCTCATTGGCGTGCTGCTAGAAAAGTCGAAGAAGAGGATAAGCAACGCTGGGCAGAGGCAGAGGAGCGTTCATATGACGTCGCATGCGCCCTACAAGAAAGGGACCTTGTTCAAGCATGGATCCTTGGACAACGACTCCTAATACCTTCGTTTCAGAATGTAATCATGGCGATCCTCGAGACGGCTTGGGTTGAAAGTGACTCAATGCTTGGGTATATAGCGTATGTCTACGAGCATACAACCACAGGTAGCCCGCTGAGGAATTTCTTCGTCGATCATTTTGCATATGGACTTCGATGCATAGACATGGAGAAACTAGACGCTTATCCAAAAGAGATGCTGGGTGAAGTAGTCTCTCTCTTCTGCCTTGCAACGAGCTTCATCGTTGGAGAGAAGTGCGAAGATGATGCTTCGTACAGACCGATGCAGGATGATCTAGGTAATTTTCAGTATGGTTTCTTTAAAGATTGGAGAGACTACCAAGTTCCCGTGTATGATGACTCGAGAGGTAAATCGGCTGAAGGAGAAATTACCCTGAGAACATTCTGATGCCTCTGTACATAGAGAGACGAAACATTCAAATGATAGAGGCAGCAAGTACTCAATTCTACACAGTTTGGCTCTTACCATGTGCAAACGCATATGCTCGATATGTCTTGCCCACCTCCTAGCAGAATACTCTCAGCTGTAGTACTTACGTGCCTGTTAATTGATTTCCTTGCTTTTATATTCCTTGCCGAAGTCTTTCAATCACCCTATTCAGATCTCGATCCAAGGACGAACTCGCTATCAAAACTACTTTTTGTCGGCAAAGCAAGATTCCAAAATCCTTCCCCAAAAGCTCGAAGGAATGGCTTTAGGATGCTCTGTCGTGACAGGATGGTCGAACTCAAAGAAGAAAGCATGTATTGAAGCCATTTCGAGTAGATAACCTTCCGGGAAACACTCAGGAAACTGGGCGAAAGCTTCGGGGTCAAGAAACAAGACGCTTTGTAATACAACAAATATCCAAATCAAGCTTCCACGCCAAGTGTTCCTGTGCACGTATGGGATCCTGGAACTGCTTGGCTTGAAAGATGAAGACCTTTGTCGCGGCATTATGTTCGGTTGTCTCCATGTGGCAATCTTCATTTGAATTTAGTGTCAGCTCAAATTCATTCTGGAAGCTTCATGAAAATAAAGTCACATCTCGCCTGTCAGCAGAATAAGTTCCATTCAGATGCAAAGAAGTCCTCAGAATACGTCTGCCTCCTATATTTCTATTGAGGGTGCCCAACTGGAGGCGTTTCTTTCCAGTATTCCACATACTCACATCTCTGCACGAAACAACAACTACTTGGTCATCATGAGCGATGTCACTAAGCAAGGATGGGTTACCTTCAAGGTCGGGATAGACTACCTAAAGCAGCAAGACTTCGCTGTTGACAAGAGTTGGTAAATTTCGGAAATGAAGAGTAGACCACAGCTAACAGCCATAGAAATTGTGTGCAAGCACTCACCGGTTCTAAGAGCAGCTTTTAGCTCTATATTCGAAGAAGCACAAACTCTAGTCTACCGCTTAGACGATGTTGAGCCAGACCTCTTCGGGCTGCTTGTCAAATGGTTGCATTGCAAAAAATCCGATCATCCAGGCCGTCGAATGTGGATGGATGATCCAGATATCGAGATGCTTATCAAGCTGTGGGTCCTCGCAGACAGATTTCTGATTCCAAGACTCCAGAACGATATCATGGTTCTTTTGGAATACTTGCTTCTGTTCAGAATTCACGTCCTTAAGGGAGCTTGGATTCGATATATCTATGACAACACACACCACCGGAGAGTGTCCTTCGGCAGTTCGCCGTCATTCAAGTCGCGTATTACGATAAGCTCGAATTTAGTACTGTTCCGTCGAACAACGACATCGACATACAGGAAGATCATGAGTTTTGGCAAGATGTTGAGACATACAGAACTCAGCATCTGACCAGCTACAACCATCGATCCAATACACTGGAGGAGATGATGTGTTATGTTCATCGTTCTCGTATGGAAGCTAATCCTCCCTCCTGCTTACTCCGCGTTCCAAAAGACGATTGAGCAGGCAAACAGAACAATGTCTTGATGAGAGTAGAAGTCGATCGAGATTGCGAGACTTTTTCTTGCTAACTTACCTGTAAAAGAGACAAGTATTTGCGAACCAATGTTGGTAATCAATTCAGACATAAAGCAAACCAGTCCAACCAAACCATCAGAGAAGAGAGTGAGGCCCGTGATTCGATACGAAGAATGAAAGCAAACAAGTGGCTTCACTAGTGCGCACGAGCTCGATGTTCATCGAACCTTCCATTCGCTTTCCTTATTCAAGTATGAAAGCACCTGGCAAGCCTCCCAGAAACCTCAAACCATTCTTGTAAATGATGAGGCTGACCAAGCGCGGTGTTGTGCTGCCAAAACTTATATGCATATTATTTTGCTACTCGGTCCACTTTTCTTGTATTGACTACTACTTCTGGAAGACACTGGTCATGTCTTGAAGGGTTGACAATTATACTTCATGGTCGTCAATATGTCATAATTATCGATAAGCCAGATAGCTTCTCGCCAATATCTGATCTTCAAGAGATCTCTTTGCAAGCTCCTATCGAGATGCGGGATGAAAGACCAAGAACACTAATGAGCTCTTATATCCACAGAGATCCAAACAAAAGAATGACCTCGGTTCCATCTGATGTCTTCTCCACTGATGTCTTTTGACTTGAGAAACACTCTATCATCAATAGTAAGAGCTGAGGCCACCGGGAATGGCCCACTTAAGCGAGACGCGGTAACGCGTAAAAATTCTACACCCCATTTTAAAACCCTTACTACACAACAACCCTCTTAGGAATCAGTCCATAATTCAAGATGGAGACACCTCTTATCCTAAGTGATCCTATCGAGAAAGAGAATAATGAATGGCCTACCCCTGCACGTGCAGTCATTCGATCCCTACAGCGCCAGGGAAAGTCGCAACGCGAGATTGTCTCAGAGACCCATATCCCTCGAAGAACAGTACGCCGCA